CATACATCTCACTCTCTCAATGTTTTGTTCATCTTTTCTACTAAATCATTTAACTAAAGAGTTATAGGAGAAGATTTCTCGCATATAATACCGTGTCGCTTGTAATAAACATCAAAGATCCACAATGCTCATTACCATTGTCAATACAAATGGCTTTAGCTTCTTCCCTAATTTCCTCTTAACCAAAAGATAAAATTGTTTAAACTTCTCCAACACTTGGTCTTTTGTTTTCAAAGCATAGATCCATAATTTATTGGAACAATCATCATTAAAGGTAACAAATGAAAGTACACCACTAAAAAGTATTACTTTAGTGCACCTATTCAAACTCATATTTCATAGGAGTGATACTTCTTAAAGGGTACTTTGATTTGCTTACAAACTATTGGTGCTACAAAGATGCATCCATACGCATTCACACTATCATTAAGACATTAATCGTTAAATGAGCTAATCATGGGATATACCAAACAAGTTACCTTAATATCAATTACTACAACTAGTCAATTGTTGTCCTTATTGATCTCAATAAATGACTTCATAAGATGAGTTGGAGTCAAACAATTTCTTACTAATTGTTACATAATCAATTGCTTCATCATCAACTGCTAGTCAATAGTGATATTATACTATTATTTTATGGAGTCCAATTTTCTTGTTTTTAGTACTTTTGGATTTAATATTACCAACAACACAAGATTTTGCACTACATTAGACTTATAATCTTTATACCATTAGTTACTCCTATTTACAAGTTTAAATTCCTAACAACCCTACTTTATTAGTAGTGTTTGCACACTTCAAAGAATGTTATAAAAAAAATTTCCTACTAGTTCTTCACCACCTAATATCTTAATCTACGTGACTTAGGTTATTAGTAGAATTCGAGTAATACCTTATTGAATATGTCATCTGAGTCACTATATTAACATATAAGATTACCTATCATTTGTAGGCCACAACTTCAAACACACAATTCATTATCAATATATATTTATCTCATTTTTTTGTAACAACCCACGCATAAATGTGCATCAATACATCACAACTAATCATAACTTACATCTCTTTTAATCTTTCCAAAGGAAGTATATCATTTGAGTGCATTCTTGATCATCTAAACAACTAATAAACAAAAACAATTATCTCTTATGTTAATATTTTGCTTGAGTACCCAATTAATTACTCGAGCGCCCAATAGTAGTTGGAATGAAATTGTACATCAATTTTTTCTCATCTAAAGGGATCTGACTTGAGCTTTCGACACCTATATAAAACAAAATATTTGAGTGCTTTTTGTACGTACACACTACTATCGTATCATATTTACACACAATCTCTCTAAATGTAACAACTCATTAAGTTTTCTCTCACCTCACCTGCTCGTGTTCTTCCTTTTATGGTTTTTTTTTCTATAATTAATTTCATAAGTAATCCAAAACTAAAATATTTTTTCTAAAATTATAATTCAAAATAATTTAAAATATATTCATAAGTTTATTTGAATAATTATATATTTTTTATATTTAAATAAAATATATATTTAAAATAAAAAAATTTATAATATATTTTAAAAATTATAAATAATTTGTTTCATTAATTAGATAATATTTTTTATGATAAACCTTGTAAATTTTAATATTTTAATAAATAATTAACTTTTAACTTTTTTCTTCATATTTAATAAATTAATAGGTCCACATTTACGCAATCAATTATTTTTTATTTTAATTAGTTATATTTTTTTAAATATTATTTAAAAATATTTAAATATAAACTACATATTTTATTTAGATTTAACTTAAATTATATTATTATTTAAAATAAATCTTTAAAAATATTTTTAATTATTTTGAAGTATATATTTTTTAAATCTAATCAATTTTATTTTATTTTAGATAATGTGTGAAGAATAAATTATATTATTATTTAAAACAAATCTTTAAAAATATTTTAAAATATTTGAAGTATATTAAAAAAATTAATTAGTTTTTTTTTTATTTTAGATAGCTTGTATGAGAAAATATTTAAAGAGAGAAAAATAAAAGAAAAAAATAGTGAGAAAAAAATGAAATAATGAAAAAGAAAATATTTAGTGAAAGTATAATATGTTGGTAAGTATGAATTTTAGAAATACTATTTTTTTAAATAAAACTCCTGTTGTTTTTAAAGTAATCGTCATTAATGGTTCATCGCTAATGTCAATCATGATAGTCATTTTTATCATATTTTACATATTACTTAAATAATGTGTTTCTTAAAAAAAAGTAAATATTCAATGGACAATAACATAAAAGACATGTTCATGCTAACTATTCATAGTTTCTAATACTTTCATTTATACATAACATAACTGAGTATTTCGCCCTTATATTGTAATTATAATATTATTATGATTAATTTTAATATTTAAGGTATTGTACGTTTTAAAATATTAATCTATTATAATTTTTGTTCTTGAAAAATATAATAAATTAAAAAATTAAGAGTGTATATAAATTACTTTCACTTTAACTTTTAAATTATACCAATAAAACTCATGAAAATTACAATCAACGTAATTTTTTATATCACATTCTAATTTAATTTTCACAAACTCTTATTCTAAAATATGAACTCACCTTATTGTGAATTATTCTTATCTTTGACAAGAACTTCTCCCATGATTAAGGTTAAGGTGAATATCACACCTTCCAAACCTCATCAAAAGCCCACTGTTTCAATATAAACTTTAAAACCTCATCAATATAAACTTTAATTATGAAATTATTAAAATCATTTTTTATTTGTCACTACAACTTTTTACTTTTGTTGATTTTTTTTCTAAAATCATTTTTAAACTATAATTGTTAAATAATTTGTTTTTTTTTGTTCTTAATTTGTTTTTAAAAATACTTTTTTTTTATTACTAGAAGACGAGAGAGTTAGGTTTGGGAAATTTAATTGGTCATCACTGTGAGAACATATATTGTCGTTTAATGTATATATAAGACTTTGACAAAACATCGACCCATGTTGCAGTATGATTAAAAACTCAATTAAAAATATTTGTTTTGGGTTTAATAAGTTAATCACATGATTAATAAGATAATTTGAAACGTTATTTCAAAATCCGTACTTCTTCGTCTCGTATCCATTATAATAATATCATTAAATAAATTTCAACCTTAAAACTATTATCCAATTAATAATTCTCAATTTCTAAATAATATTAAACTCATGAATTTAATAAAAACCAGTTTTATGATGAATTAAGCCATTATAAATTTGTATTAATAAAATATTAACTCTCAACTATCACTATTCATCCAATCATAAATCCATTTTAAAATACACATTGAATTAGATAATATCTTCAATAACATCAACAAATTTTGTTTATTCTTACGTATGTAAGATTATGACCTTTTAGTTAGAGATTTGACTTATACTACTACCATAATAAAAAAAGGGCATTATCATAAAAAGATTTGACTTCTAATATTTTATCATGGATACTAAATTTATTTTATAGTTTATCACTATTTAGAAAGCAACACATTTCATTTTTATTTTTTACATGTTTAAATTAATATTTTTAACTATTTCATTTTAAATACTTTTAATTTATATGTAAAAATGGTTCTCCAAATTATAAAATATCACCCTCAATACCTTTTTAAATCAACATTTTGAATTAATTTTTACTTTTATACATTTTTGTTTCACTTAGTACAAATACGTTAATAATATTTTTTTAACATATATTTTCTTTTAAAAATATTTTAAAATATACAAAATTACGAGAATTTTGCTAGCCACTGGATACAAATATGATTTTAAAATCTATCCAATGGTTTTAATTAATTAAAATTGTGAAGACATTAATTAACCATGCTTATAAAGCTTAATTACTTTATTTTGCATTTTAGTTTAGTATATGGATAATTTTGATCATACCATTTTTAATCATTTAATTTTAATCTATATATTTAAAATTTAAATTTTTTCTTTTATAATTTTAATTATTCAATTTTATATGTTATCAACTTTTTTTTAACTTTTACGAAATTTAATAATGAGATAAATTCATATTAATATGCATTTGATATTTAATTCTTATTCACATGTTTAACTTAATTTTTAAACGAGAATAATTTATTTGAAAATGAATAATCATGTAATATAAATCTTCATATGTATGATTCAGAAAAAATAATAATAACCAAAAATAATTAATAATTTATATAAGATAATATATAATATATTTAATTGTAAATTAGTTTTAATAACTAATAAAAAAATTGAGAATTTTTTTATATGTATCTTTAATATGTAAAATATGTCTTATATATCATAAAATATCAAAATTAATAATATCTCAATTTCAATTTTTTTATTATTTAAAAAAAATTAAAACCTAATTTAAATAAAATATTATTTTTAATAAATAAATATTAAGAAATTTTAAAATATTTAAATAAATAAAATGAAATCACCCAACATTATCAAACTTAAATATAATTAACTTATTATATTATTGAAATTGTTAAAAGATAGATGTTTTTTTTAAAACGATAATTAACACGTGTGTAACTTTGAAGACATGTTCCGATCAATGTTGTTAAAATAAATGATAAATTAATGGATAGATTATTTTTTTTATGAAACAAAATCCAATTATTAAAACTATATAAAAAAACATCTTTCAACTTTTTAAAAGAATGAGATATGGTTTATGCATTAAAATTATTTTTTAGGGTATATAATATAAATATGTTTGTTTTACTTCTTTTTTAAATAATTTTTTAATAAAGTAATTAATTATTATAATTTCTAACATAAATTTATTTTAAGAAATAAATAATTTTTATTTATTTATAAAAAATGACATTTTATAAAAAAATATAATAAAACAATGTATATCTCAGTATTACGCCGTTGTCAACAACACACTCCTTTTGTGTGCCCTTTTGTGTTTGTTTTTTACTCTCTGCAGTAATCCATCCTCTGTGTTCACAATGAACAGCATGTCATCACTCACGTTTGATTCTCACGCTATATGCAACCTTCACCGCCCCTTTTCATACCGCCACTCTCGTCCCTCTCCGAACGTTGTCTTATGCTCCGCCAAGCCCGTCGCGCCTCCTCCCACCAAGCTCGCCGCCGCCGACACCTCCGTCTCTCGCTTCGGCTCGCTGAGCCAGGTCTCCGGCGTGCTGGGTTGCCAGTGGGGTGACGAGGGCAAGGGGAAGCTCGTTGACGTCTTGGCCCAACACTTTGAAATCGTTGCTCGCTGCCAGGTACTGTGCAAGTTCTTTTCTTTTTCTCCTTTAGCGTCTTTTCCCCAAGTTGCGAATCGTGGGTCTGTAGGGAAAGTTGATGAAATCAGTGTGTTATGGTTGAAGTATTGTGTTAGGGTTCATTTCTCTGTTCACCAGTGCCTTTTGTTCAAGGTTTTTGATGTTTAGAATCATGTGTTTTTTTTTGTTAATAATTTATTATAAGTAACTCTAAATTGATTCTTGAATTAGGTGTGGCGTCAATTTTGTCCCTAAATTTACAGTGGTGTCATTTTCATTTCTGAAATTATACAATAATGGTTATTTTAGTTCTTCGTTGTTACCCAAGGACAGTGGTTTTTTACTTTTGAGTCCCTGAAATTACAAAAAGTAAGAATTCAAATGAGAAATGTTCAGTAATATACCGTCTAATACACTCTTTTAAACATCCTGTCATCTGGTGGTTGAAATTTTATCATACATCATAAATTATTTTAGTCTAGTTTCTTATTTAATGAGTACTTTACATGCTTTTGTAGTTTTAAAAAATATTAACCTAGAGAATCTGTAGAAAGTGTTTTCTCTTAAAATGATTGATGTCTGGTAATTTCAGGACTATATTAGCATTTCTTTAATTCCAGATTGCGATGCTATTAATTTTAGGGATTATTTTTGTGTATTTTGATTGGCTTCGCTTGGTATTGGTTTGGTGGATGATTTTGTTTTTATAATTGTTGCCTTACACTGATAATTTGTGATGATTTATGTGTCTCTCAGGGTGGAGCTAATGCTGGGCATACTATCTACAATGAAGAAGGGAAAAAGTTTGCCCTTCATCTTGTTCCTTCTGGTATTCTCAATGAGGATACACTGTGTGTTATTGGGAATGGGGTCGTAGTGCACCTGCCGGGGTTGTTTAAAGAGATTGATGGTCTTGAGTCAAATGGGGTCTCTTGCCAGGGAAGGATATTGGTATCTGATCGTGCTCACCTGTTGTTTGATTTCCACCAAGTAGTGGACGGGTTAAGAGAAGCCGAGCTTGCTAAATCTTTCATTGGCACCACCAAGAGAGGCATTGGACCCTGCTACTCCAGCAAGGTTAATCGCAATGGCATCCGAGTGGGTGATTTGAGGCACATGGATACTTTTCGCCAGAAACTTGATCTTATATTGTCAGATGCAGCATTGAGGTTCAAAGATTTTAACTATGGTCCAGATGTGCTGAGGGAAGAAGTTGAAAAATACAAGAGATATGCTGAGAGGTTGGAACCATTTATTGCTGATACTGTGCATGTCATGAATGACGCCATAGCACAGAAGAAGAAGATTTTGGTTGAAGGAGGACAAGCAACCATGCTGGACATTGATTTTGGAACTTATCCTTTTGTTACATCTTCTAGCCCATCAGCAGGTGGGATATGCACTGGTCTTGGTATTGCTCCAAGGGTACTTGGTGATTTAATAGGAGTGGTATGTGGATATTTATCTGTTTTTATTGTTTATTGGAGGTGCTAGTAATCTTGTTGTATTTGTCTGAATTGTCTTTTTGTATTTTGCCTTTGCTTCTTGTAAGCAATTGTTCCTTACTGCCAAACTTTAAGCTCGGGAACCTAAAGTTGTTTCTGTGTTTTTTAATTAAAAAATATGATGTAAACAAATTAAGCATACACAGGTAGAATGGTTTATCAATTTTATTTTGGCTGTGCAGGTGAAGGCATACACTACAAGAGTTGGTTCTGGACCTTTTCCTACTGAAATTTTGGGTTCAGGGGGTGATCTACTCAGATTTGCTGGGCAGGAGTTTGGGACAACTACTGGCCGTCCTCGGCGGTGTGGTTGGCTTGATATAGTTGCCTTGAAATACTCGTGTCAGATCAACGGGTTTTCATCGTTGAATCTTACCAAGCTGGATGTTTTATCAGATCTTGAAGAAATTCAGTTGGGTGTCTCTTACAAACTTGCTGATGGCACCCTAATCAAATCATTTCCTTCTGACCTCCTTCTTCTTGAGCAATTGAAGGTAACTTTTTGTCATCTTTCCTATCAACTCCATTTCCAGATTCTCTCTAATTCTGGTCTTTCTGTTGCTTGGGAGTTTGTATTACATTCTCTTATGTTTATTTGTTTTTTATGTTCTAGGTGGAATATGAAGTACTTCCTGGATGGAAGTCCGATATTTCTTCCATAAGAAACTACTCTGATCTTCCAAAAGCTGCGCGGCAGTACGTGGAAAGGGTAGAAGAACTTGTGGGGGTCCCTATCCACTACATTGGTGTTGGACCTGGACGTGATGCCCTCATATACAAATGATTTCACGTTGAATTTGCATGCCTCTATTGGTAAGTTGAGGCTTTTTGCGGTAGAGATATGTCTATTCCCCCTAACATTTGTGGTGACGAGTGAGGATCACCTACATGATGTAATATGTTGCTAGCCGTTGTGAATGGCATTTTGGGTTCATATAGAAATTTGATTCAGGGTACTTCACCGTCTAATTTTGCAATACTTGTCGCATGATGAGTATGAATTAGATGTATGATGGTAACATCTGTCCCCCTTATTGTGTTTTTACTCATGTAGTAGAAAATAATGTTGTACTTGTAGCTACCCAAAGGCTTTTTGCTTTCAAGTATCTATCTACAAAATTGCATCATGGTTGTGTTGCTCCATGTGCATTCTTTATTTATTCTCGCTAATCATTAACCATCAAATTCACATGGCTTGGTGTTTAGTGGTTCAGATTTCTGTGACTTCTCTTGCTGACCATAACAAAAAGGTTGCACCTTTGATCATTGCATAAGATCTCCATCAGTACTCCTGGTTGCTTTTGCATTTCTACTTCTGCTTGAAAAGTTTATCGAAACATAGTATATGAGTAGATGACGTGAAGGAGTTAAAAAACTACTTTTTTGCCTTATTCTTCAATGTATAATTTTCTATTATGAAAGTAAATAGTATACTTAAAAATGTTATTTTTCGTAGACCACTTGTTTGATATCTAGTAATTTTTTAAAATTTAAAATTTATTTGATTAAAAAGTAAAAAACAAAATAGAATATAAAAGAATGAGATGTTTCCTTTCTTCTAGTCTTTATAATATGCCAAATCCTAACCCAGTATATAAAAATTACAATAAAAAATTACGTTTGTTGTCCCGTAATATCTATACATAACATAAACAATTCTTTTATATTTTAATTGAAAAAATAATACTTAATGAAAAAAGAAAATATAAATATTACATTCAAAGGAAAAAAGTGTTCATGTACAATCTTATCCTAATTAAGAATATGTGAAAAATGCATTATCATCGATCTTCTTTTTTTCTACAAGAGAAACCCAACAAATTCACTACCTACTTTGCTTGCCACAATAGCTTATCAAAGATGCTGAAATTTCCCCCCATCTCTTTGGTTTAAAGGAAGTCCTTTTTATTTATTTATTGTTCATCACGAAAATACGAATGAAGTGGAAGAATTAATTCTGCTGTCAAATCTGATCTGTCAAATCTTAATTCTGCTGGTATTGATAGAGAGCTATGTTAGGGCATGGATGCCATCTGATCTAAGCGACAAACAAACTTAAACACTTAATTGATGTTGGGCTCACAACAAACCAATCATTTAGTACTACAATATTTGGTTATTCATTCAAGGTCGCTTGTTCCAGATACCAGAACTTCGTCCAGGTTCACGCACCAATTACATGTCAAATAAATATTTGAAAAAACACAACAAAGGATTCAAAATGAGATTAACATACCAACATGTACATGCTTGTATTGTACTAGAGTTTCAACTTTCTCTCTCTGTTTTGTAACCGCAATTCATACATAGCATCAATGGAGAGTGGAGCCAGTAGTAAGAAAGCATCACCTCAATCTTCCCAGCAATTCAGTTCTGTTACCACTCCTCTGCTTGATTTGGAAAAGGTATCAACTTCAATCTCCGTCTCCTATAGTCTAATAATACTTAGACTTGTTTGTCTTGTTTCTTACTGTTTGGGGCCACGTGGTTTTGAATTATTCATCTTATCCTAATTGAATCCATTTTTTTTCTTGTCCTTTTTATGTATACTTTGTGAAACACTTCTCGGACATTTCATGTAAATACAGGTTTAGAAGCAGTTTTATGCCATCTAATTGAAAGTGTTGAAGGGGTTAAGTTAGCAAATTAGAAGAGTGATAAAGATCATAGGTTGGAAAGAGTGGCTTATGGGATTTGTTGTTCTCATTTTTTATTTTTTCTGTTTTGTTTTTGGGTTAGGAAACTGGGATATCAAGCACAGGAGTGTCTCAAGAGAGGGTCGTAGAAGACGCTGAGAAAGATGAATTGGAAGTTGATGACTCTCCCATAGAGCAAGTAAGGCTAACAGTTCCAACCGCTGATGATCCTACTCAGCCAGCACTAACATTCCGGACATGGGTTCTAGGGTTGGCATCATGTGTGCTTCTTGCCTTTGTGAACCAATTTTTGGGCTACAGAACCAACCCTTTAAAAATCTCTTCAGTTTCAGCACAGATTATTACACTTCCTCTCGGGAAACTGATGGCTTCAACTCTTTCGACTAAACCAATCCGACTGCCATTCACGAAATGGTCATTTTCAATGAATCCAGGGCCATTCACTTTGAAGGAGCATGTGCTGATCACCATCTTTGCTACAGCTGGATCTAGTGGTGTTTATGCAATCAGCATCATCACAATTGTGAAGGCCTTCTATCACAGGAGCATCCATCCAGCAGCAGCTTATTTTTTAGCACTGTCAACCCAAATGCTTGGGTATGGATGGGCTGGGATTTTTAGAAGATTCCTAGTCGATTCCCCTTACATGTGGTGGCCTGAAAACCTTGTGCAGGTATCTCTATTCAGGGCATTTCATGAAAAAGAAAAAAGGCCTAAAGGAGGAAACACTAGGCTGCAATTCTTTTTCCTAGTCTTTGTAGCGAGCTTTGCCTATTACACTCTTCCAGGGTACTTTTTCCAAGCAATATCAAGCATCTCCTTTGTTTGTTTGATTTGGAAAGATTCCATCACAGCTCAACAAATTGGTTCAGGCATGAATGGAATTGGCATCGGCTCATTTGGCCTCGATTGGAACACTGTTGCAGGATTCTTAGGTAGTCCTTTAGCTGTACCTGGCTTTGCCATTATCAACATGTTAATAGGATTTATTCTGGATATCTATGTTCTGATTCCCCTAGCCTATTGGAGCAATTTATATGATGCCAAAAAGTTTCCCCTTATTAGTTCTCACACGTTTGACTCAACTGGTGCAACATATAATGTTACTCGGATTCTAAATCCCAGAACTTTTGACATTGATTTGGACAGTTATAACAATTACAGCAAGATCTATCTTAGTATCACCTTTGCATTTGAGTATGGATTAAGCTTTGCAACTTTGACTGCCACTATTTCCCACGTTGTCCTCTTCCATGGAGAGATGATTCTTCAGATGTGGAGGAAGACAACAAGATCAATAAAAGAACAACTTGGAGATGTCCATACAAGAATTATGAAGAGAAACTATGAACAAGTCCCTGAATGGTGGTTTGTCACCATATTGGCCATTATGGTTGTTATGGCCTTAGTTGCTTGTGAAGGCTTTGGGAAGGAACTCCAACTGCCATGGTGGGGAATTTTACTTTCTCTAATAATTGCATTAGTCTTCACCTTGCCAATTGGGGTTATTCAAGCCACAACAAACATACAAACGGGACTCAACGTGATTGCAGAGTTAATAATTGGATTCATCTACCCAGGAAAGCCCCTTGCTAACGTAGCCTTCAAGTCTTATGGACATGTCAGTATGGTACATGCACTTGGGTTTCTTGGTGACTTCAAATTAGGCCACTACATGAAAATTCCGCCAAAATCTATGTTCATTGTGCAGCTGGTAGGCACAGTTGTTGCCTCAACTGTCTACTTTGCCACAGCTTGGTGGCTTCTCACATCTGTTGAAAACATCTGTGATGAAGCATTGTTGCCAAAGGGTAGTCCATGGACATGCCCTGGTGATGATGTGTTCTATAATGCATCAATCATATGGGGAGTAGTAGGACCAAAGAGAATGTTCACCAAAGATGGTATTTACCCTGGGATGAATTGGTTTTTCCTCATTGGTCTACTTGCTCCCATTCCAGTGTGGTTGCTTTCTCATAGATTTCCCAACCACAACTGGATTCAACTCATCAACATTCCCATCATCACTGCAGGTGCTTCCAACATTCCACCAGCCAGATCAGTGAATTATATTACATGGGGTACTGTTGGAATCTTCTTCAATTTATATGTTTATAGAAAGTTCAAGGCATGGTGGGCCCGGCATACTTACATCCTTTCAGCTGCTTTAGATGCTGGAGTTGCTTTTATGGGTGTGGCCCTCTATTTTACCCTTCAATCTAATGGTATTTTTGGTCCAGCCTGGTGGGGTCTTGATGCAGACCATTGCCCTTTGGCCAAATGCCCCACAGCTCCAGGCGTACAAGCCAATGGATGCCCTCTTCTTTGATATGACATGACCCATATTCCCTGGTGAATATGATATACTTTTTGGGGGAAAAGATTCATCAGTCTCAGTATATACTCTTCCATACACATGTTAATATGATATTGAACATGAAATGTACCTGAAGTCTAAATATTCCACATTCTATCTCTTCTGATTGTAAAGTATAATAGAATATTGAACAAGATATAAACTTGAGAGCTGAAGCAAGATTTTTTAAACGATCAAAGAGTCTGTTTTACTTTTATTTCTTTGTATCAAAGCTATCCGTGTATCTTAATTCATTCTTCCATGCCTCGATAGGCAAGTGGAAACTATAAGTACTGATTTATAGTGATTAGTAAAGATTACTACTTGATTTGTTGTTAATGATACATTGGGCTACTACAGAAATTCGATTCAGGATATTTTTCTCTTTAATTCTGCGTAATACATGAATCATATTTACGGTGTTAACATCTGTCCTTGTTGAGTTACTCATGTAGCAGAAATAATAATGTTGTCCTTTTAATAATCTATAGGCTTTCACTTTCTCTTAAGTTGTTGTATTTCGAATAATTCGTGTCTAATCATTGAGATTCAAATTGATTTGTAGCATGCTCTCTTTCTAGTGGCTTCCATGAGAAATGGATTATATATGTTTAATATTTCAAGGTCTGTTCAAAATAATTTGGACTGAATCAAGTTGTTACTGAATTGAACTAAATTACATATAAAAAAAATTGAATTACCTATGGATTGTTTTTAAAACCGTGCTTAAGTTAAAGGGGAGGATGGTTAATGTTGATTAAGATAGAGATTATTATAAGGTAAAATTTAAAATCTGATTAGAGAACAACATCAATAATGCTTCATGGAAGTTTTCTTATCAAGTTGAAAAGCCATCACAAAATGTTCACCAAAACAAAAGCAGATTCTCATAAAGTTTGCTCGTGAAATGCATTAGATTTAGAGAAACATTAATACAACTACTCTCAACTTTCTACTTCATTTAAAGCAAGTCATCTGTAGAGAAAAAAAAAATCAAATTTCAATTTTTTTTAATATGACTTTATTTATCAATTTTTTTTGTCCACTTTTCTTTTCAAATGATTTTTATTATGTGAACCTCAATAAGAAACAAATATCTATAGTAATTTATGAATAAGCACAATAATTATAATTAAATTAAAAATATAAGGAAGTTCTGTTGAAACTCATATTTTTACAAAAATTCTGACTTTGAATAGTAGCATCTACAGGAGTTATGCTTTTGAACTGGCTCAAGCCCATATATATATATATATATATATATATATATATATATATATATGTTCAGCAATGTTTTTTGCTAAATTCATATAAAAAAATCGGAATATTTAAAAATAAATATATCATGTTTGGTTTAACAATTTTTTGAAAACAAATAAGTTTTAAGCATATTTAATATTAATTTTCTTACGTTAAAATATTTTTATTTTCATATTAACTATGTGATGGTATTTTAATTTGTTTTTTTTTTAAACTAGCAAAAAATTCCACCCAATTAAGATATTAGCATTAGCAACGTTATTATGAAAATTGGATGTGAAAGGTACTGCGAATGCTGACCGCATTACAGTAACATTGGGTGCAGCAGTGAGAGTGAGAATGGCAACGGCGGGGAGTAAGAAGCCTCTCTCTTTACAGCAATTCATCTCCGTTACCGCTCCTCTTCTTGATTTGGAAAAGGTAACCAATTTCTTTTTCTCTTCTCTAATTTATTCTGTTATCATCGCAATTGCTTAATGTTTTCGGATTACAACCATGAAACCGATCATAACTTTCAAATAATTTTATCTTTGGCTTAGGAAGCTGAGATTTCGAGCTCGATTGCTACCGGTGCGTCCAGGAATTTGGACACTGCTCAAAAGAGGGGTTCCACAATCCTCAACTTGAAGTGCATCGATGTCCAGGTTAACTCTCCTTCCATTTCATCACAATAAATCCCCTTTTGTTTTTAACTGTGTTTAATTTGTTGGTATCAAAGAGGCTTGCCCAAGGACAAAAAAATATGGATTTCGAAAATATATTTGAGGAAGTGCAATTTTATTATCTTCATTTCATTTCATTTCTGTTGAGAGTTTAACAGTATCAAGGAAATGCAGCTAGCTAAGTTTACAGTTGATTTTTCTTGTTTTCATGTGTGTTTAAGTTGTAAGTGGAGTTGAGTTTCTGTTCGTAAGATATTCGTGATGTGTTCCCTTGTTTATTCCGAATGTAGACAGGGCTTATGGGGAAGTCTCTGATCGAGTTCCAGTCTACAAAAGGAGATGTTCTTCCTGCACATAAGGTAAAGGTTTCCTTTCTTTTATCTGTTCACTATCAAACTGGCTATGCTGGTTTATTCAAATTTAAATTTGTGCTTTTTAGTATTTTCTTGTGGGAATGAACCGGATTTTATTTTGTTTTATGCATTTCTATCCCTCATCCTCCTTTTTTGTTCAGTATAATTATCATATAGGATTGTATTCTGTTTATTCAATTTATATTGTATTACGTTCATAAGTTAATGTGTTTTTTTTTTTTTTTTTTTTTTTTTTTTGCAGTTTGGTACTCATGATGTTGTTGTTTTAAAACTCAACAAGGCTGATTTAGGTTCTCCTGCTCTTGGACAAGGTGTAGTTTATAGAATAAAGGTATCTGATTGATTTAATCAGTGAAAAGAAAAAAAAAAAATGCACATGCTGTTGGCTTTGATGGTCCCACCTTTGGATGTTACTTTGACTTACTGGTTTTATACAATTACTAACAGGACTCGTCAATAACTGTTGCCTTTGATGATATACCAGAAGACGGTTTGAACAGTCCCCTAAGGTTGGAAAAAGTAGCAAATGAGGTACACAGTTTTATTATAGATAATTCAGTGGTTACTGTGAGATTCCATGGATTTTACTTGAATATAATTCTAGATTTGCATAAAATAATGAAATGCTCTGAGACGACCGTAGTATGTAGCTGTTGCTTGCCCTTTGGTCAGTTAGCTGTTTTTGTGCACAATATTAACACGTTTCTTGGCATCTTTATAGTGTTCTTGTAAAATTTTCAAATATATTAAATACGTCTCCCAATTCCTTGTTAGTAGCAACGATAAATGGGAAGCTGATGTGCTGATAGATTTAACGCGTGGATTTTACAATTAAAAGAAATTGTGGTTAGATATATAATTAAGACTATGTTTCATCAATACAGGGTCCTAAAAAATATGTCTAAATTTTAGAAGGATGAGAATAATATGTAAATTTTTTGGAGGACGCATTTAATATTTTAATAATTTTATAGGGATGCAAAGCATATTTTACCCTTATTTTTATCAATTTCTGGGTCCTAGTTTCTTATGGGCTGCAAATATTTATTGCTCACGTAGGTAACATATCGTAGGATGAAAGATGCATTGATACAGTTGAGTAAAGGAGTGCACAGGGGTCCTGCCACTGATCTGATTCCTGTCTTGTTTGGGGAGAGGCCACCAACAGTGTCCAAGAAGGATATATCCTTCACTCCCTTCAATAGAAATCTTGATCACTCTCAGGTATGTAACCTAATTTCTTGCTCAGTCACTTTATTCATTTCTTATATAATCTTTACGAAATAGTTTTATACTTTGGTAGTCTATTTTCATTCAATGTATCATTTCATCTAAGGCTGTTTGTTCCCTTATAATTAACATGCATATTTCTATTGGGTATAAAAAACATATTTGTGTGTTATCTGCACTATTTTATAGCTATTGCTGTCAACAGGTCCTTTTCTTTAGGGGATAATAGAATTGTGATTTAGGCTCCTGTCAAAACTATTTAGGAAAATTAAGAACTCTATTGTTTAATAACGTTCAGAAAGTGTTCAATGTTTGCACTACATATATTTACTTCATTAATCACTTGAGTGCTCTACAATTTTTGATATTTTTCTTCAAGCTTTCTTAAGTCATGATTCTAAAAAAATATTATTTCAAAATTATTTTTGCATTTTGATACCCTTCTAAACTTCTGAATTTTCGTATCATTTTGAAGTTCTTAAATGGATTACTTTAAAACCTACGATATGAGAAATATCACATGAATTGTATAAATACAACTTTAGGTTTCTATTTGTTGTCTAATCATAGCTAAAAGATCATGAAAATATTGACCTGAAGTTACATGAATATTATTAATTACCACCATATAATTAAGCTAGAATATTGCAGATTTCCAGGACATGCTCTATTATAGCCAAATTCAAGTGGCTTAACATTGTTATGGGTCTATATTTATTGATTTTAGTATATCAATTAACCTCATCTAGTGGGATAAGGCTTTCATTGTTGTTATTTAGGATATCAATTAATCAATGCAGAATATATGTTATGTATTTCTGTTTTTATCTTGAAAGAAAGGAGCAGTTTCAAAAGCTCTATCATCAAAGAATGTGTTCTTGCTGCATGGACCACCTGGAACGGGAAAAACTACAACAGTTGTAGAAATTATATTACAAGAAGTGAAACGTGGATATAAGATTCTTGCTTGTGCAGCCTCAAATATTGCTGTTGACAACATTGTAGAGCGGCTAGTTCCACATCGGTATAATTATCACATTATCTGTTTGGCCCTGAAATAATTGGCTGCTTTAAGTTCTTTTACTTGGATTGGAGTGATGTGACTACAGTAACTTTAACATCTGACAATATAGATGAACAGTGTCTCCTATTGTGGAACATCTGTCCACAAAACCAGTAATATTAGAAGAAAAAGAATATGTTCTATAAAATTCTTCCCCTTGAGAAAGTAATAATGTCATGTAAAGTTTATAATTTGGATACATTTATTTTAGTGCTTCTGTTCTTATTTACTTTTTGTTCTTTTTCTCCATTCTGTGGTGAGAATCGGATGTGCTCTTTCTGCATGGTTTGGTTTCATCAAATGTGTAAATGATGTGTGATACTTGGTACTCATTCATGATCTCTGACTTTTCTGCTAGAGTTAAGCTGGTGAGACTGGGTCATCCTGCACGTCTATTGCCTCAAGTACTGGACAGTGCGCTGGATGCTCAGGTACATTTTGAAAACTTATTTAAACACTGACATTTGATATCTGCATTAGTTATTTTATCCCATATTTTTGTTACTATTCCACTATGGCATCAGTAAAATGTCCAAATTTATGTCACTGTCGTATGCATATTCTCTATAAAAGGGCAAAGCAGTCATCTGAAAAGAGCTCTGCTATATCTCTAGGAGATCCATGATAGGAAACCCCCACTAATAACCACGGGCCAATTACCTACAAAACTACTCTGTCGCACACAAGATGAGTGGGACAAAGATAGTTAAAATTCTAGCATTTTGTTCAATTCACAAATGTCAAATTCCCTTCAACCAATAAACATTACATTCCTCACTACACAGCCCTTTAAAATGAGAAGAAAAACTTTTACTCAAAGATTCTGGACAGATAAATTCCTCATATAGTCTCTTAAATAATTAATTAATAATGGATTAAGTTGCTCAGTATTCTTTTGCATTCTTCAAATAATGTTTTATGTCATTGTTTTCACCCCTTCCATATTTAATTTCTCTGATATTAGGTACTACGAGGAGATAATAGTGGTCTTGCAAATGACATTCGGAAAGAAATGAAGGTGAGTTTTAGAACAACAGTGACAGATCTGGATCTTAATTTTCATTGTGATTTTATTACCATTTACCAACATTGTTAATTCATCTAGCTGAGGATTCTGAAACTGTTACTTCATATGATATCATTAATTTAACCATTAACTTCATATTAGCTTAATTAGACATAAATATGATTATGCAATATTACTTTTGGCATAATATAACCTATTTTTTTCAGGCATTAAATGGAAAGCTGCTGAAAACCAAAGACAGAAATATAAGAAAGGACATACAAAAGGAACTTAGGATTCTATCCAAAGAAGAGCGTAAAAGGCAGCAGCTTGCTGTAACAGATGTACTTAAAAGTGCAGATGTAATATTAACTACTTTGATTGGGGCTTTCTCTAGGAAACTAGACAGCACATCATTTGATTTGGTGATTATTGATGAAGCTGCTCAAGCACTCGAGATAGCATGCTGGATACCTCTGCTGAAGGTTGTGTTAAAAGAATACCCACTATATTCAATGTTATTAATAACACTAGCCCATATAGATTTCAGACTTTTATTTTCTTCTGATTACATGCATGTGCCTTGTTTTACTGCTGTTTGAACACTTCATATTATCACCAGTGTGCTAGGTGGGAGGAGGCAAAATAGGGTAGTGATATGCCATAACAGATATATTGAAAATAAGACATGGTTGGATAGTTTTTGTACAATAATGTCTCCTGACACCAGAATTTGAAAACTAAAAATATTATTAATTTTTTGTTGTGTAAATAAAATACTGGTACCGATCCTGAAGTGATTTTTCCTTTGATTATGATGATGATGATGATTAGAGAAACAGTGTTTTACGACAGTATCCTCCATTCCTACAATGTCCTATAGTGTTCTGGACTTGATACAGCAGGGTATAGAAAAGACCTGACTCAAATATCAAATTAAAAGGAATTGAAAGTTTTATATGGGTAGTTGAGTACCAAAATGTACTGTCTTTTACAAAAGAGAAGATGCTCTGGATTGGCAACTAAAAAACTTGATACTACATCTGGGTTTGATTCTGTGTTAAAATATATGGCTTTCTGATCATTACACGATGTTGATTTTATTATAATGAATTAAATGAAGAGTTCATTGTTTTAGGGTTCAAGATGTATACTTGCAGGAGACCATCTTCAACTTCCTCCAACCATTCAAAGTGTTGAAGCTGAGAAGAAAGGCCTAGGAAAAACACTCTTTGAACGACTTGCAGAAACGTATGGAGATGAAATCACATCAATGCTTACTGTGCAGTACCGTATGCATAAATTTATCATGGATTGGTCTTCTAAAGAGCTTTACAACAGTAAGGTGCTCCTGAATTTTAAAGCTTGTCTCGCTATTGCATCAGTTAAAATCAATCTTTTACATGACACTAAAAAACATAACTTATCAATCGAACCGAAATTATATTATGTTGGGGGAGGATGGCAAACATTTTATTTGATCATCCTGCATGGCATTATGTGATAACAGATTAAGGCTCATCCAAGTGTTAATGCACATATGTTATATGATCTCGAGGGTGTGAAGCGGACATCTTCAACTGAACCAACCCTTCTTCTTGTAGACACAGCCGGGTATGTTGGATTATCTCCTTGTTGAAATTCTATCTTCTTCTCATAACTGCTTTGATTTGGAGGGACATGTGGAATGAAGGCATGGCTTTCTTTCATGAAAATTTATATGCCATTATTTTGTTTATATTGGTTCTGTGTATGGAATATCTAATATTCAGTAATTAGGATACTAGTTTCTTCTATCTAATCAAGGATTTTAACATATGACCAAACTGGTATGAGGAAGTTTAATAGAAGGAGGTCATTATATTGAATATGAAGCAAATGTAGATTGTTTGATATCCATAGGAGTTATTTTTCAAACAGAATGTAATCAAATTGCTTATATTAATGAGACTCAGATGTGATATGGAAGAAAAGAAAGATGAAGAAGATAGCACCTTTAATGAAGGTGAAGCTGAAGTTACTGTGGCTCATGCAAAGAGACTAGTGCAAAGTGGGGTACTTCCTTCTGATGTAGGAATTATTACCCCATATGCTGCCCAGGTACGAACTTGTATGTGGAATTTGGGTCCCCTAAATTGAAGAATGCACTTTACAACAATAACCGTTTATTAGAAATGAATGGTTGAGATTGTAATTTACTTTATATTTTTTCATATACTTGATTATATCACAATTATCAACCATTGATTTTCTAATCAACAATTGTGAGTGTACTTTATTATCTAAACTGCACCTTGTCACTTTAAAGGTGTAAACTACTTCTATGTGAACCTTTGCTGTAAATGTTCAGCAACAGGCAACATATTCTAGTAGTTTTTACGAGGATGACAATATGGTAGTGTTTTTCCTAAATCCTTATAACTAGTATGGCAGGTTGTTTTGCTCAAGATGTTGAAAAACAAGGAGGACCGGTTGAAGGATGTTGAAATCTCAACAGTTGATGGTTTTCAAGGAAGGGAGAAGGAAGCCATTATTATATCAATGGTTCGATCAAATTCAAAAAAAGAGGTATTTCTGACAAGTCTGCTAGTTTCATTTTCTTCACATAGGTTTTACGCGCCAGATTTTGGTTGCATGCTGTGAAGAATAAGAGACTTGAAATATATATTTCAGGTTGGCTTTCTAAGTGATCGTCGGCGAATGAATGTGGCTGTTACAAGGTCTAGAAGGCAATGCTGTCTTGTCTGTGACACAGAGACAGTCAGTGGTGATGGATTTCTAAAGCGATTGATTGAGTATTTTGAGGAGCATGGTGAATATCTGAGTGCATCTGAGTACCAGAATGAGTAGGCTAGACTCCCAAGTGTAAGATTTCTATTGTTGCACTCTCCTGATTATTTTGGTGGTGTTAGTAGATTTGTGAAGGCTTCTCAGATCTTTCCTAATGTATTTGGGATGGAAAGACGTTGCTAGTTTATATTGAACTATTTCATTTAGAAGAAAAAAATTCTTGGTGTCCAGTAATGTTATAACTCTGTTTTGTCAAGAAACAGTATTATTACTTTTAGAATCATGTGGAGATAGACTGGAGTCTCGTATATCCTAACATTTCATATCTTTAAAAAACTTTGCTAAATTTTTATTGTCAGGATAATAGATCGCATTGTTTTTAGCCTTACAAAGAAGATTGGAAGGAGACCAAGAAGGATATTAGAAGACATTATAAAAAAGGACATCAAGCGAATTTGGTCTTTTACTAAACCCAATAATGTCTAGCCAACTTTATCAAGTGGGACAAGATTATTATTATTTTATTGTAATTGTATTGTATGAATGAGACATGACCTTGTTCTTTCGGGTGGAAGGGTTAACAGTAGTTTGTTTGGCAAGGTCAATTTGCTGATTTTGATTAACGAGAATTATTGAAAAACTGACCAGGATGTACACGGGAGGGGTAAAAGTGCTAGTTATATATATATATATATATATATATATATATATAGTTTTTGTGACTAACCCCCATCTAATAAAGTCGTATTCTCAAGCTGTCATTTTTAGGCTGACCCATCACGGATCATCGAAATTATTTGGGTCCCCTAATTTAATTCCGGCAGTTATTTTTCTGCACTTTTTTACCTTAAGGATTGGTGATTTCCGGGTTGTTCAATGTTAAAGGTAAACAAAAAACATTCTAGATGAGCCATGACACTATCTTGCTTTTGGACCTTTGATTTTCTCTAGTATTTTTTTAGTTCAGACCCATTCTTCCTGCACCTGCACCTCCATAATTTACCACATAAATTTTGAAAAAGACTATATTACCCCCACTTTCGAAATTGGTGGATCCGGAAAATATCCGTAAAGGAATCCAAAAGCCATTTTGCTCCAAATTTGTTGCCAATGAGGTTGGGTTAGTTGCTCTCTATCTTAGAGCTAACCCCTTTCCAGTTCTTGATGAAAGAATACCAGTGCTGCTACTCTCCTCCCTCAAAAGCAACTCCCTTATCCTGGTAGAGTCAGCCACAGATTTCTAACGTGTCTGGACAAGTTTGTCATTCCATTTACTGAAGTCAATTTCCCTGTTTTTCGCAGCTGGTGCATCATTCAATTTTCCATAATCTCTTTCAAAATTACACTCATCAAGCTTTTAGATTTCCGGTGAAGACTGAGAGGTCTTTAAGACAGGTGTGTTTCTGGGGTCTTTTAAGTCCATAATGTGAGACATTAGGCTCTTCTATATTTGGAACAGTCACTGGTCCTAAGGTCTGCAACATGCAACCACCACCTGGCACATGGAACTTACTTTCCATACTTTTGACACCAGAAGTTTCTATGAGAATTTTATTAATGATTAAAAAAATGGAATTACCCAAGAAAGAAAATATTGAAATAAAACATGAAAATAGTTGGGGCAAACCTTCCTAGCCAAAAGTGGGACAAACTGAAAGGCAATACTAAAATACAAACATGAAAAAAGTTCTTCTCTGGTAATGGACACTGAGGTTGGTCTCCCTGAAAGAGTCATGTATAAATCAGTAAGTATACATTATTTTGAGTGAGAAAATAGGTAGGTACCTTGAGATTCTAAACAAAATCTACAACTCCAGACGCTCGTGTATACTGCAAGTCGAGTTCTTTCACTCCTACATTTGCATCCATCTCAAAAAGCTCTTAAAATTTACCTATCTGCACCAACAATAGGGAGAGGATATATTTGGAAAACAATCCCACGAAGGCAACAAACTTAGCCAAACAAAACTTTGTTCATATTTTATTTCAACGCTATGATGTACAATATTATCCACCATGTCAATTTCCTAAGACCTATTACAATAAAATTTTTGGCTTTCTGATCAATCTTTCCAAAAAAATTTTGGATTTACCGGGAGTCATATTATCTCTCTAAATAAGTATAAAGGTGCAGGAAGAAAGAGCATTTAGTTCAACTAAATATGTTCGCCTGTGAGTCCATGTTTATTTTTTATTTTTTTCTATAAATCACCTTAGTTCTTAATAAAAATGATACAATTGTATATTATTTATGTGTTGTAAAATAATCATTTCTTAATACACTATAATATTTTAATAATTAATCATAATATTATCGTACTTTTAAATTAATGCATTTAATATAATTATTTATCATGATCAATTCAACAAACAGAAGTTTAGAAAATCATTAGAAAATAGCATTAGAGCTCGTAATATCACAAAAAGTATACCAACACATCACGCAAAAAATAAAAGCACATTTTTTTTTCAAATTTTGGGTTAAGGGTTGGCCTTTCTAGTCAATGTTGGGATAATAAATTTTGCGGACAGATTGAATTGTGGCAAAATAGTTTTAGGCGGAAATTTAACTGGTCCCACGTGTTTTATAGTAGATTAATCTGTCAGTCCATCGGCATTGGATCATTTTAAGACCCCTACTACTTTGTACCACACTTTTGCCTGAATATGCAAAGGGTGGTGGAGGTACAAAATAAAGTTAGATGTTACCAATTCCCTGATGTGCTAATAATAAGTCAAGTTACATTACTACTTCCACACTGATATAAGTTCCTTTCTCACTAATCTAGCTAGCTACTTTCCTGCTCTTACATTGCCTGCAGGCATAAACAGGATTAGAGTAGTTGGAGAAAAACCTGATAATCTATTGCTTAACCTGATATGATAAGTACCCATTTCTGACTTAGTTCTCTTTTCTTGAAAAAACAAGTTTCTTAGAAGTTCCAAATGGAAGTTGAGAAAGTAAGGTCATCATTTGGCCTATATTCAAGCTGGCTAGATTCTGATTCCTGAATACCTGCAATTCCATGCATCTCAATCAATGCCTCCCAGTTAACACTTGTGTCAGAAAACACTCCCAATTGATCATTGCCATCTCTCAACACAGCTTCAGGCACTGTTGAACTTTCTGTGCTATCAGTTCTGTCTGACTGTCTTTCTTCTTTAAGTATTCCCAGTTGTTGAAGAAACTCATGGAGGTCTATCTGGGGTTTGTCTTGAAGATCTCCAAGAACCTCCTCTGGTGATGTTTGAGCATCATTTGGAGGATTTTCTCCATGATTTGTGCTGTCTACATTCTGTATTTCTGCCTCTTGATCATTGGATGAACTATTTGGGGATTGCCTCACAACTGAATTTTGCTTAAGCTCTTGTAGCTTCTGATGGATTAAATGAACACTAGGTTGAGCATTTACGTTGAGTAATCCACAGGAAGGAAACATTGAAATAAAGTTCTCGGAAGGGAACCATTTGAACTTTCCTGGTGTAGACCTGGGTTGCAGGTGGGGAAGATTAAGGTATGCATCTGGTCCATAGAGTCTCCTTGCAGCTTCATCATAAGCCATGGCAGCTTCTTCAGCTGTGCCAAAAGAACCAAGCCAGAGCCTGGTTCTTTTCTTTGGCTCTCTTATCTCAGCAACCCATTTGCCCCAAGTTCTCTGCCTAACACCTCGGTACTGGCACGAGGCATTCTGGGGGCCACCTTTCCCCCTAGTTGGCCCTTTCTTCCATGGCTTCAAGGGGGACTTCTTGCAAGTATCCATGGTTGATATTAGGATTAGAACACTGTAAAGTGGTGCTTTGAGTATCACTGCTTGGTGATGCTTGGAACTGCATGCAAGGCGCGGGATATGTAGGAGCAAGGAGTGTAGGTTGGTATAAATGTTGTCACGTTAAGATAAGTAGCAAAGCCCATGTGACCGTTATTGACTGCGTACTGATCAGTGATTGTTTGAAATCCTTTTTTTCTTTCTTTTTTCAACACTTCCTGACAATCCTTTAGGTTTTCATGTTTCTCTTACACCCTTGGCACTGCCACCAGGCGTTGATGGGTATATATGCATGGTCTTAGCACGTGGTAGTAGTAATTTATAACTTTGTTTACTACACAAACATGAGGCCTTTATGGTCTTTTGAATTATCTCTACTTTGATTCAATGGAGGGTTATGATCAACTTGATAACCCATGCAAGATATAGTTGATGGTCCACTAAATTTGTACTTCGAGTCTATGCAATGCCCTTCTGATGATACTTGAGATTCCATGCTTGATAAGCTCTTAAACCATTTTATTTTACGTCTCTTTTTGGCAATCACGGATCAAACTATATCTGCAGCTGGGTGGTCCATAGACGATCCATTGAGTACATTGCTTAATTAAGACAGAAATCAAATAAATATACAACTATACTTATTTTAGGAAAACCTTTGAAACTTAATTTCCCAATGATTTTGAATTAAATAGTTTATGGAATGAAGTATATAGAAGAGCATTTTGGAGTTATAGTAGTACCCCTCGACGTTGACAATGCCTTGCGCAGGAGAATGTCCTTGATCTATAAAATGACAATGCTATTACGTCCAAGGGTTTGGTAGCTCCGTACCTACCCAGTTGTCATGATTGTTACACAACAAAGCTCCTATTTGAGACCACAATAGCCTTATTCTATATATATTTATATAGGTTTTGAAGATGGTGATGACAACGTTACAAGAGACTGAAAGAGAGAAAAAAGGGGTATTGAATGTTGTTGAGGTGGCCACTAGAATATTTGCAAGACTTTTCCCGAGTGATACAGTGATTGTCTTGAATGAACTCTGACACACATCTTTGGATTCTATTTCTATAAACTATATAATTAATAGAATTGAATTTGTCCTTGAGGAGAAGAATTTTAAATAAGATCCACCTCAACAATTTGCAATTCACGAACTACATTTCACATGTTCTCCTGCCATACACAGCCTGATTCTCGAGACTTTGGTCACCTTTATCCCATGCTTCCTCTCTATGTGCATGCCATCGTGAATTACCCCTCATGCCCCTCACAATGTCCATATCATACCGAATGATACCACAGTGACGAGTGATGACGTTACCAGTTCCAGATGTATTCATGTGAATGATAAATGATAATGCTTATATGCTTTAAAGATAACATTAAGACATTGTTATCCTTATGACAAAGTGAACATCTGTGGTAAAGGAGTTGAGAGAATATCAGATATAAGCCTTCATTGGTGACGACATATCACAATCAATGAACATGTGATCAACAATCTTACCACGACTTATAACTTACAACCACTAGAAGTTGGATTGAAACAGTTAAAAACTTATGTATATAAACTAAAAATGCAGAATTCTGGAAGCTATGGAAATCCTATTTTGTTGAACAATGTTTATATAGAAACATGATGCAGTTAACTACTTCTAAAGTCACATCACATCACTTAGTGATGAAGGGAGAAACAAATACCCTGAAGAACAACAACTCCTCAGTTGCCATGAAATTGCATTTGTCCTGGCTGAGGGATAGCTTGGGATTCGTTGCAAGACAAAATAAATATCCATGCCAATGCCACTCCTTAAATGGTAATTATCATACCAAAAAATATGAAGCAAGCACATCTGTAGGAATTAAATAAAAAATCAATTAATAATTTCAATTTTCTCCTATAGTGCAAACTGCGGTACAAGAAAATAAAGCCTTGACATCTCAATTGGTCGTGAGTGTAGCAATCACACACAGGGAAAAGTAAAGAAATTAGAAGTTACTGTGTTTGCTTCTGGATCCATAAGCATACCTGGAAATAACAGAATATTCATGTTTTTATTTAGAATTTCTTCCTGCTCAGTATAGTGTGCACAAACAGGATCATCTATTTGAAAAACAGTGTAGTGTTCTTCTAGTGTTTTTTGCTATAGATTTGATAAACGGGTAGAATATTTGCTTTTTTGTTAGAAAAGTTTTCATGGCTAACGGACACTCGGGTTTTTTCAACTTCTCTGCTTGTTGAGCTTCAACCTTTAATTCCTTTCTTCTCCACCTAACACTTCTACCATCTCAGTATTTACATTTTTCTTTCCAAAGCCAATGTTTACAAGCTCACACCTACACCATATCCTTGTCTTCAACCACAAAGTTTCTATTTATTGGGCATCCCTAAACTATTAAAGAAATTATTTTATATTTCTCGTTCAAATTTCTTAACATTTGGAAACGTTTGAAAGTAACTTAAGTGATTCCTGTACCCCCATAATTTCTCACTCCTCTTCTATACCCCAACTCAAATATCTAAAATATCTTTCACATAATTTTGTTTAGTCGACTTCTTTTTCACTACCTCTTCAGGTTTATAGTTGCCAAAACCAATTTCAACCACCACCATGTGCAGTGGCGGATCTTGAGCATTGATCTTGAGGGGGCCAAATAATATATTATTAATAAATATAAAAGGAAGAAAGATAATAAAAGTGTAAAAAGATAAAATTGTAAATATATACTTAAATATATTAAATGATCATTAAGTTAGAGAGAGACAAAATCATAAATTATATAAGAGTTATAAAACCGAGGAGGAGCTGAGAGGATAAAATTGTAAATATACAAGTAAATATATTAAATATTAATTAAGTTTGGGTGGGCCAAAATTATAAATTACATGGGAGTTACAAAACTTTAGGGGGGTCACGGCCCCCTTCAGCTCCCAAGAAGATCTGCCACTGACCATGTGACTCTACTCAAGTGTCAACTACTCTGTCTCCTTCGGATGTGACACCTAAGTCTGACCTTCCCATTGCCCTCCGAAAAAGTATTCGTTCTACACGTAATCCCTCTCTCCATTATATTGGTTTGAGTTATTATCGACTGTCATTACCTTTTTATACATGTCTTTCCTCTCTTTCTTCTGTGGCCATTCCAAAAACTGTCTGTGAAGCTTTAGCCCATCCTGGTTGGCGTCAGACCATATTAGATGAACTAAGTGCTCTTCATAATAGTGGAACTTGGGAATTAGTCTCGTTACTGTCTGGAAAATCTGTTGTTGGTTGCAGGTGGGTGTTTTCTATCAAAGTTGGATCTGATGGTACTATTGATCGCCTCAAAACTCGTCTTGTGGCAAAAGGTTATACTCAAATTTTTGGGTTGGATTATGGAGATACATTTTCCCCCGTGGCAAAGATGACTTCTGTTCGTTTATTTATCGTCATGATCGCTCTTCAACAATGACATCTTTATCAACTAGATGTTAAAAATATTTTTCTCAATGGTGATTTGCAAGAAGAAATCTATATGGAGCAACCTCCTGGGTTTGTTGCTCAGGGTGAGTCTTCTGGGATGATATGTTGTTTTCGCAAATTCCTATATGGCCTAAAACAGTCTTGTAGGGTCTGGTTTGGAAAATTTAGCAAGGTTGTTCAACAATTTGGTATGACTCGGTGTGAAGCAGATCACTCTATCTTTTATCGACACTCAAGTGCTGGATGTGTTTGCTTGATAATATATGTTGATGACATCGTTCTTATAGGTAGTGACAACCATGACATCTCTCAGTTGAAACAACATCTGTGTCACCATTTTCAGACCAAAGATCTTAGCAAACTTAGATATTTCTTAGGTATTGAGGTGACACAGTCCAATGATGATATTGTTATATCTCATAGGAAGTATGCCATGGATATTTTGGAGGAAACTGGGTTGATGAATTCAAAGTCTGTTGATACACCTATGGATCCCAATACTAAACTACTACCAAATCAGGGGGAACTTATACCTGATCCTGAGCAATATAGAAGATTGGTTGGAAAATTGAATTATCTTACAGTTACCCATCCTGACATTTCCTTTGCAGTCAGTGTGGTAAGTCAATTTCTTAATTCCCCATGTGAAGATCATTGGAATGCAGTCATTCGTATCTTAAAGTATATTAAAGGATCTCCTGGAAAAGGATTGTTATATGATTCTAATAACCATACAAGAGTTGTTTATTACTCAGGTGCTGATTGGGCAGGATCTCCTTCGGATAGAAGATCTACATCTGGATATTGTGTCTCCATTGGTGGTAACTTGGTCTCATTGAAAAGTAAGAAACAGAGTGTTGTGGCAAGATCTAGTGCAGAAACATAATATAGAGCTATGGCCTCAGCTGGCTCTGAACTTGTTTGGCTCAAGCAATTGCTTAGAGAGTTACAATTTGGAGATGTCACTCAAATGTCACTTGTGTGTGACAATCAGGCTGCTCTTCATATTAGTTTTAATTTTGTCTTTCATGAGAGGACCAAACACACATTGAGATTGACTCTTATTTCATTCGAGAAAAGATTATGTCTGGAGACATCAAGACTGAGCTTGTTAACTCAAGTGATCAGTTTGCAGATATTTTTGCTAAATCTTTACGGGATCCTAGAATTGATTATATTTGTAACAAGATTGACACATACGATTTGTATGCTCCAGCTTGAGAGAGAGTGTTAGATATTATTTAGATATTATTTGATATTGTTAAGATATTGTTAACCACAATATCAAACAATATCTTCTGTTTATTCTGTTACTTTTAGTTACTTTTTTAGTTGTATCTCTCTATTATAAGTAAACTACCCTATGTGTGATTTATACACAAGGGAGATTAATCTCAAACTCTATTTCTTCTATATTCAACAACCTTACTTTCTTCTTCTTTTTTATGTACAATTTCTCGCACCTTTATCTCACAACACCTTCGTCCTTTGTTTTTTTTTTTTTTTGTGCTATCACCTTTATTTAAGGACTTTTCTAACAATTAAAGGTAAATAATAATTAATATTATGTATGAATTACATGTTCTTGTATTTAAATTGCACAAACAAATTTAAGTTGCTTAATTTGAAATAATGTCGTGAAAATGAAGTTGAATTCTAGAAAAACGAATCTGGAAATACATTCAGGATTGAGTTTTGGAATGTATTTCCAGATTGACCTTAGAAAACCCATTCCATAACACTCAATTCAGAGCACCCAATCCAGAATACATTTTCAGATTGACTTTTCTTGATTAGGTGTATTGGAATACGTTTCTAGAAAAGTCTTTTTGAAAATTTCTTCTAGATTGGATGTTCTGGAATGCGTTTTTGAAAAAGTCTTTCGAAAAATATATTTCAAATTGAGTGTTCCATGATACGTTTTTGGAATATCTTTCTGGAAACGTATTTCAAATTGAGTATTTTAGAATATGTTTTAAGAAAAGTCTTTCTAGAATACATTTCGAAGATAAAGATGAAAATAAGTGTAAAAATAAAATGGAGTTTAACATAATAATTATGAGGGTGCAGGAAGCACCGGTCCAAATAAAAAGTGTCTAGTGGCCCATTGTTTAGAAAAAGAAAAAAAAACAGTGGAATATAATTTGTAGAAGAAAAAACATCATTCATTTTTTATATATAAAAAATATGAAAAGGAAATAATATCAAAAATGGAATTATACGTTTATTGATATTATTTGTTTTAAAAGATATGATCGCATTACATTTTTAAATTTTAATTGCATACTTATTTAATTATATGTTTTAGTTAGATATAATGTTAAAACTTACATTTTATATTAATATATTAGGTTGAATTATGTTATCCTATACTGCAAATTTTTTAATGCAAGGTTTAATAGTACATTCTCGTAAAGTTTTATTTTACTTTAATTAAGTGTCATATCTTTTTTAAAATCTACAATTTAATAATTTTCATTTACACTTCAATTTTTTACAAATTAGAAAATTAATTTACTTATATAATTAAATATTTTTATTCTTGTTTCGAGATTCGATATAAGATTATATTTTGAGGTTTGACATTTTCTTTTTCTTTAAACTATGTTGAATAGTAAGTCTTAATTCTAGATCTTAAATACTTTTTTAATAGGTCCCACGGTTTTCTTTCTTTCTCCGATAATATGTAGCTTTTGTGATCTTTAGTATTTTTGCAGAGTAACACTTCATGTTGAAGTTTTGTGTTTCTTCTTTGATACAATATCTTGTAAAATAATAAATCGTTCAAGATTTTAGTGAAAAATGTAGCAAAATAAAAATTAAGCGGATTAATACCTTAATTCTTAAGAATAATAATAATAATAAAAGAATAATATCAACAGCATGTGTTTACCAAATTGAGTGCCATTGCGAGAACAATCAAGGACAGTGTAACACAGCACCAAAAAACTTATATTTGTTATTCATGTAAAAATTATTTGTTAGGTTTAATAATATTAAATTAAAGAAGTACAAATACTTTTTAAAATTATTTTTCTTATAAAATCTCATTAAAATAAATTTTTTAGGAGAGTCCTGTATAAAAAAAATTACTTAAAATAAAATGTTATTTTAAGAAATTATTTCCTTATATAGAAATCGGAAAAAAATATTTTATATACACCTTCTTATCTTTTAATGTATCAAAGTATTTTTTAACAAAATTTTTATGAATTAGAATTTTAAAATGTACAATAAATCAAATATAAAAATTAATTTTAATAATCCTATGATATATCAAATATTATAATAACAAATAAAAAGAAATATTGTTATATTTTAATTAAAATTTAATTAGAGTGAAATAAGAAGACTTTGAGTTGAGGAAGAAACCATTTATCCATATAAAAAAACTATCAATTTTATTTTCCATAGTAATTTCTAGCCCTTGTTTGTCCATAATTGTATCGTTATTGAGAAAACATATTGTTTTTGTTAACATGAATATTAGTAATATATTTTTCCAATGTGAGTAATGGTAGGCTAAATTGGTTGGTAAAATATACGTGATTAGGTCCTTGATTCAATTCTTTAGAATAACTTTTACTTTTCTTTTTCTCCCTTTAAAAACAAGATGAATTATATTTTAATTCTTTAAAAATTTGACAAAAGACTACTTTGTTCCTATACTAGGAACTTGGCTTTTTAACTTGCTATGTTTTGTTTCATTACCTTTGTTACATATGTTTTTATTTCTCATCCGTAAAATGATTTGGTGGGAATAAATCTATTTTTAATTAAAAATACATAAAATAAAATTATTATGCATTTACTTTCCTCATTTTATTGTAATTTTGACTTTTTAATAAATGTTTCACCTCTCTGAAACTTAATCAGATATTACTTACTGAATTCATTTTCATCAAAGCAGACATAAAGTTTGAGTTAAAACAAAACAGTACTTAGAATTTTGTATGCAATACTCTGAATTCAAACATGAGAGAAAAAATATCCTTAAAAATGATCAATCCGCAGAGCATTTATTTTTTCTTTTCTGAGAAAATTTATTAGTATAAAAAATTTCGTGGGCAGCAAGAACAAATTAAGTTGTCACTTCTACTGCCACGAAAAGGGTTTGTCGCTTTCAATCTCAATACAGTTGGAAACATGAATCAACTCGTTCTATGTCTATTTGACTCGGACGAAAATAATTATTTTCTCTAATTTAATCAAAATTGAAAAAAAAAACTATTTTTATAGAATATTTATTTTATTTTAAAATGAGAAAAGAAAAAAACTATTGTACCATCTAGTCTTATTATGGTCGGATGAGGTTGCCCCATATTTACATCAACAATTCGTCATTTTATGGCATAAATTGATAGATTACCTTCATGTTTATTATCTGATATTTAATAATTAGAATCATATTAAGTTTATTAACTTGAGATTGAAGAATTGTTTAGTGTCTAGTCTTATGACCTTATAAGAAGTTGACCTATGACTCATCTTCAAAGGTAACAATAATAATCACATGATATTTGTAGTAACCACTCATAATTTGTGATATAGATTAAGAGATTATTAACCCGACGAAGTAAAAAATAAAATAAAATAAAAAGAAAAACACAATCAATTAATTGAGTGTAAAATAACCAAAAATATTAGGACTATTCTTCTATTTAAAGTGTGATAATATATTGAAACTTTTTCTAGGAGCAAGTATTTTTATATTATTTTAGAATAAACAAACTTATAATATAATAATAATGAATATATTTTTAATATAATGTTATATTAAAATATATTATTATTAATTATCTATAAACTATTTTAAGTATATCTTTTAAAATAATTATTATAAAATCACTGTTATACCACGGATGTTAATCGATCTATTGTTAGAAGACAACGAAAATGAACTTTTACATCACATTCTAATTATTTTATAATAAAATAATTGAAAATATTTAATATATGTAATAATTTTAATATAAATTAATTATTGAAACATGCATAATTAAACTTGTTATATTATTTAATTTTGTTAAAAAAAAATGAGTACATATAATATTAATATGTTAATGTATCTTTAGTTTTGTTTTATTTGTAATTTCTTAGTTTAATTTAAAGGATCAATAACTAGCCTTGAGAATCGTAAAGAAATAGTGGTCAAATGAGGTTGGGCACCTGGCATCTATTGTCATCATCCTGTTATTTTTATTTACTTCTAATTAAAATAATAATATCTTCTTGCTATGCATCATTACTATATTATTTTTAACTAAATGAGTAACGATCATCTATGATTAAAAAATTAATACATGATCAATCATTGTAAAACAAAAATAATTTAAATTTAATATAATTAATTTTAGTTATAATTTAATATAATTAATTTTAGTTATAACTGCATCGAAATTGTGTTGTGTCAATGATTTCGTCTCAAAACAAAACTAATGATGAGATTAACATGAAAGTCACATTTCTTTTTTCATTTATAAATAAATGTGATTTGAGAGAAATATTGGTGGTGTTGATTTGGTGAAAAGTAAACGCAAAATTTTGAAAGCCATTATGGCCCTGAACGTGTGACATGCGCCAAAGCTTCTGCAACTGCCACCGTCAAACACGAGAAATTCATGAAGAAAAGGCCAACCACAAATCAAAACCAAATAGTCAAAGGAACCAACCAACTCAACTATTGTTATTCTCTTCTTCCAATAAAATTGCAAAAACTAAAAAGCTACACTACAGAGAAATTATATTTATAAAAAAAATTTATGCTGTATATATACAGGTGATAAACTATTTAATATAAGTGTGTTTCATAATCTATCCTCATACTATGACTTTTCTTCATCAGTTCTTTTGTAACATATTAATCAAGAAAAAGTTATTATTATATTAATATAGTTTTTTAAATAACTATATAAACAATAAATTTATCAATATAATGACTGATAATCAAATGGTAATGCATAACTTACTCTCTCTTTTTTTCTCCTTCGAAACCTGGATCAAATTGTAATAAACACGTGACTTTTTATTATTATTATTATTATTATTATTATTATTATTATTATTATTATTGAATCAACTGTAATATAAGTTTTCTATCATAGTTTTGCTTACGCAGTCATATATTTTAAATTTAATTACACTCTTTTTTTGTCTATAGTTTCTGACTTTTCAATTATGTAAATTGAGTTCTTGACGATCATAACTCATAACTAGCAGTTTTGATTTAGCTAACATGACACTGAATAATCATGCAACAATTGTTAATATACTTTAATTGCTCGTTTAGTCCCTTCTAAATACAAGAAGCAATATAATTAAGTTCCGTAAGACAATCGCAATGTTAACGTATATCCTCGTCCATAATAGAGAGAATAAAATTGTATAATCATGATATCGGAGATCCAATTAGGGCGAGAAAAATCCATTAATCCATAACAACTGAAATATAATATTTGAGAGGAAAAAGTAAAGTGGAAATTTCGTTGGATCTGAGTGAAATGCTATGGAGCAAAATTGCAATGAGTTGAAATGGCAACAATTACAACAAAAGATTATACATGTTAATTGCTATCATTTGCTGTTATGAATGAATGGATGAATGAAGTAGGAGATGGCATGGGAGGAAGAAGCAGTTACACACATACATGGAAACCCTAAAGTTTGAAGGAAAAGAGAGAAGAAAGGAAGAGAGGATCTACCAGGTAACGTGGACGATGGAGTTGAAGATGCGGGAGAAAGCGAGTCGGATACGAAAAAAGGCGCGAAAGGAGAAGAGAGAGGAATCTTGTAGAAAAGACTGGAGGGTGTGGACGAAGAGATTGAAGTTGCGTACGGGCGGAATGTAGAGAGTCAGAGGAACAGAGGAGAAGGCCACAACGATCAGCAGTTGAAGCATTTTTTTCGTTTTCCTTTTTTCTTTTACAGAGGGAGATGGGGTGAGAGCGAGAGATGACGAAGGCGTGGAAAAATGTTACACGAGGTTGGTTTATGAATGAATGAATGAATATGATGATGGTATTTATATTGTACAAAACATATTAGGGACGCAAAGGCCCAAAAATGCCAAATTACTAACTAATTCAATTTTCCCTGGAGAACAAAAATTTCTTGCTAATTCACATTTATTATTAGTAAATTATAACGTTTACTTTATTAATTTTTAAATAAAAAATCATGTTTATATTTGTTTTGATAAAAAAATTGTAACTTTTTAAAAAAAATTCAAAATTTGAATTGTTTATATTTTAAAAATATTTATTTTTTTGAATGATTTTTTATAATATAATTTAAATTTATTGGATTTTAATTTTTTTAATAGGTTATTTTAATTATTATCAAATATAAAAATCATGAATCATCAAAATACTTATCAATTATGGCTATTTCATAATACTTAAACCTCACCCACATCCTTCTTTGAATCAAGAAGTTCCACAAAAGTTTGAAATGGGTCAAATAGGTTAAACCATACCAATCTATTAAAAGCAGGGTGGTCGAAGTCAAAATATGTCCAAACAATATAAGATAAACAAAAAATTGTCTCAATCAATCATAAGCCAAAGAAAAAAATAAAAAAATAAAAGAAAATTATCTATATAAAGACGTATGTTTAAAAAAGAAAAACTATAAAAAACTAAAATTCTTGCCTTTTAGTTAAAATTTAAAATTTTGTATTCTAAAAAATTAAATTACTATCATAATTTATTAAAATTTTCATTGCTTTAAAATTTTTCCGTCTAAATAACTTATTTTATTACAAAAATGCTAATTTTTTATCAATTTTTTTCATCCAAAGTGACATAAAATTGTTCATGCGCAACTTATTAATAAAATATAAAATAAATATTTGATAGTTAATGTTATTACATGGGATATAATTTATTAATAATAATATAAAGTAATAATAAAAACTAATGATATTAAAAAATAAGGTAATATATAAATATAGTAATAAAATAATACTAATATAAAATAAATAATTACAATGAAACAAATTATAATGAAAAAATATTAACAAAGATAATAATAAAATATTACTCATAAAAAATAAATAAAACAATATTAATAAAATATTATAATAAAAATATTTATTTTATTTATTTTCAATCAAACACTTTTAAATTTGATTTATTTCTTATGTTTTTTTTTTCTATTTGTTTTACTTTTCTCTATTCTAACCAAGCAGGACTTAGGAAAGAAAATATAGTTTCTCACGTCTTTTTCTTTACAGCAATTGATAAATGTGTTTAGTTAAATTGTTTTCATCAAATTTCTTTTTTGTTCTCTGGATTGAATATCTATTTTGTTATCTTATCTTGTTTTTAGTTGTTTAACATTTGTGAAATCAGTGGAAACAAATTATTTTGTCTTTGGTTAACAACTGAAAAAAATAATTTTGAAAATAAAAATGATTAAGTTTGAGAAAAGAATATTCAATATACCCACCAAACTGCAGAGGCAACGTGTGTGTACAGTACGTAATCACGTGTACCAACCAAACTCATGTTGGTGCGGAAACATTAAACTACCTCATCGATAACAGGAGATAATGATTAACATAATATTATTAAAGATAAAGATAACATGTATGTTATAGCAGATAATGGTAAGATCAAGATCTTAGATAAATTACCCACTAAGTCATAACTATGGGATTGATCCCATTCACTCTCTGAATTTTACAAAGAAATAATTTTAGAAAACTGAGTTAATCGAGTTACGTGAATTTGAGTTTTTTTTTTTTTAAATTAAAGATGACAATTATTCGTTTTTATATTTAAATTATAAAATTTTAATATTTTTAAAATATTTAATTTTTTATATTATATATATAAAATTATTTTATATATATATATATATATATATATATATATATTTTAATATTAATTGATTATACTATGAAAGAGTAACTCCTTTCACTAAGACGTTCATACATTTTTATCGCAATCAATATATAATTATTCTTATGTTTTTGCTGAAACAAACAATCCAATTATTCATATATAACTAAAACCAATCTATTTATATAAAATTGATATAATTAAAAAAATATATAATAACTAAAACAAATCTATTCATATATAATTGATATAACTAAACTGAATCTTGTAGCAGTTCTTTTAATTATAATTAGACATTATTTCTTATTAAATAAAATCTGAAAAGATATATATTGTTATAAGATTAAATATATATATATATATATATATATATATATATATATATATATATATATATATATACATACCATTTTTATATTGTAAGTTGTAACTACATGCTTCTTTATCTTTATCCCTCTTGAATTATAAATTAAACGTTTTATAAGTTATTAATCAACATATATAAGTTGATAATCATACATCAGATATTGTACAACAGTTCGAATATTTTATAATATATTTCCAATATAAATATTAATTATAACATCACTTTTCAAAAGATAATTGTTAATACATTATTTATCTTAAAAATCAATTCTTCGACCATGTATATATTAAACGTCTCTCTTAAAGGGGTTAATTTATCAATAGCATTTATCATCAGCAGAATCAAAGATTGGCACATAAGCCTAAACAAGCTCCACCACCTCAATCAACTTAGTAAGAGACAATCAAGTTTGAACATATATTAAAGTGGATAATTAACCATTATCAGTACATCTTAATATGAATGATTAAAATAAAAATACACAATTCAAGTGAATTTCTTAAGTCACGAGCATTTAATTTTTTTAATGATTATGCACCTTTGAAGAACTTTTAATCCGATCATCTATATAATCATATTGCCCAAATTAACTTCACACATTCTCGTATAAAATCGTCTTTCTCACTTAGTATACTCTATCAATCCTCAGAAAAATAGTTAGTATTTTTCTGTGAATATTTCTTGTCTTTTTTCTTCCATACCACACACTCTTCAATAAACCTTGTGTTTCAATAAGGAAATTATTGACAAGTTGAACTCCAGCATACAGCAGCGATGTAGCTCTTTATCTCATCTTACATGTTTCGTTTTCAGAAAGGAGCGAAACCAGAACAATAATAAACGATATGGACGAAATAACATGAATGCGCCTCTTGTCTGAACTAAAAATAGGTATGGTAGTCTGCATGTCCCTGAATTTGACGTTAATCTGGTATTAACAGATATTGTATACAACATGATCATGGGAATGTATACTTCTTGTCTCATTCAAGTATGCAGTGAAACTATTTCAATAATATTTTATCTGCGCATACGGAAGTGCACTATGTACATTGAATAAATAAAAGGGGGAGAGGAGTGCTATCGCTAAAACCAAGTTTGTCGCAAGTCAGGTAGAAGATATGCATGCTAGCAACTTGCGGCATAGCAGTTGTAACTCAAGAGAAGGATCCGACGAGGATATGGTTGAGAGTAAAGACCTTGCTTCTAATAGTCCAACAGATATGTTTTCCAAAATCATATCATCGCTGGCCATAAGTGAAGCTATGAGCTTCGCACCTGCCATCCTTTCCTGTTGAACATTGCATCAACATTATACGACATTTTCTCACACATTAAGAGAAATAACATGGCTACCCCGTAAATAAAGGATGTATGAACTTCACTTATTTACGTTGCGAGAACTATTATGACTGAGAACGTGAGAACTAACTTTCAAGTCTATAAAAAGACCCAAGCCCCCAATTTTAAGGCATTGAATACTCACTAAATGCTTTAGTAGTAGAGTCAGGAAAACTCACCCAGGATCTTTTTGCTAGAACGTAATCTATGTCCTAAGATACTCAAAAAACATAATAATGGGTCTTGGGTTGCAGGAGCGACCCAAGAAAAAATAAACAAAAAAAACAAATAAGGATAAAATATTGATTATGGGACATTTTTCATTATTTTGTCTATTCTAACCGATATGACAGTCTAATAAAATTACAAAGGTGAGTGGGTAACACAATATGAAGCTTGCTATAAATATTTGACAACATTCACAACACCAACAACAAAGAACACAACCATCCATTTTATCGAAGGGGAGTGATCTAAAACTATTATAAAAAAAGAAGAAAAGATTAAACCATTATTGAGAAATGCTATTGCGCCAAAGTCGGTAAAACTCTTATTAAATACCTGGTAATTAGTTTCAACCCCCGACTCAGACACCCACCGTCGATATGGTCAATACATGGAACTCAAGAGGCAGTAAGTAGATAGATAAGAGACTCATGTAAAATTGTTTATTCTGATAACTTAACATATATGCTAACATGGACTATTTTAAAAACATATATGCTATATATTAATGGTGAATAGCAAAGGTAATTTACCATGTCTGACTCCTTCCTCAGGGCTTTCAGGGCGATTATGAGAAGGTCAGATGCATAAGGAAGAACTGCAGATCTTAGATGATAGACGGCTGAAAATAGGACCTGGGTGCATGCTGTTCTAATCTCTGACTTCGTTTCCAACTGTTAACCAAATATACTCAGTTTCGTAACCAAGCAAGAGTGATGGTGAAGTTTCAAGAACTAAAACTCTAGTAAGCACGTATTATCAGGCAACTAAGATATAAATATGCACTGGTACCTCAAGAGAATGAAAGAGAAAAGGAATAACTTGTGCTGCGAAGGGCTTCTTGCAAAATTCTGATATCTTCTGGCAAGTGCTAATGAGAACATTACCCATACAGAGACGAAAAGGGAGAGAAACTGCAGCATCAAATTCTGAGTTTTCATCCCCAAACTCTGGAGTTGAAGTTCGTTCATTCTTGTAGTTAAAGAACTGATTGATCACATAAGCGACAACAGACTTCCCTGCAGCAGAAGACTCAATAAATTTGAGATGAAGTACATTCAACTAACAGTAGCATCATGCTTATATTCACGGAAACACACATCAATAATACCTTCCTTTCCAAGAGCCCTAACTTTGTCTGGCATGTAAGAGGTGATTGATTCCTTAGCTTGCAGTTCAGCACATATCATCAGTGCTAGACAATCAATGCATCCATGTTGTGCTTTAGAAACTGAGAGAAAAAGTAACGCCCATCACAAAAGGTTTTACTTCAAATAAAATTGAAAGAAACTTAAAAACTAAATACTTACAAACCTGAATCACCATTCAGACAAGGCCATAGCAATACTGTTTCAATCATCCTTCTAATTGCACACATTGAAGGATGAGAAAGTGACTCCCAGCCTCTGACCTGTAAATCCAAAAAAGGCACTTTATTGCAAGCCAAATTGATACAGAAACCGAAATAGACTTGTAACAAGCAGCAGGCAATCTAAATAATGATGGGGTATATTTACCACAAGAGATGTGCAGATTGAAAATAAACAGGCTTTTATCTTCAGTATATTCTTAGAGGCAATAGCCGTCTCGAATAAGGAGCAAAGAAATGGGAGTAGAACCTAAATAATCAGAAAGCATAGAAAGGTTAAAATAACACCCCTATAAATATAAACTGCTAACAGGTAACAATCAATAAGGCTCACTGTGGTGCCAGATTCATATTGGATGTCAGTCATAAAGAGAAACAAATAGGGAGTGGTTTGGGTTGGATCAAATTTAATTTAATTTTCAACCCATTTCAATAAATTTAATTGGGTTAGGTTTAACTCTTTTTAGTTAACAACTCAATACAACCCAAGCCCAAATGGGTCAGGTCAAGTCATCAGTTGAGTAACTTTTTTAAAAAATTATCCCTTTTTGAGAAAAAAATATCATAACATAAATTTTTTCAATGATTCTTAATATTTATAAGGTAACGAGAATATTTATACACATTTATTAATAATATCCATACGTTAAAATATAAAATTATTTTTATAGTAAATATTTTTAGACAAATATATTTGTTACATATTTATTATGTAGTTGGGTTAGATTCAACCCCATACCCAACCAATTATAATTGGGTGCACAAAAAGAATTCCCAACCCAATCCACAAACATGTGATTGGGTTGGGTTGGGTTGGGTTAGAGCAGGTTGAGGGTCAGGTGCAACTTGCTTACATCCTATAATATATATACAAAACAATGTTAAAAAAATCTCAAACTAAAATGTGAATAGAACCAATGTTATGCTCTGAATGTCTTTCCTGAAAAATTCCCTGGGAGGCAGGGGTGGTGGTGAAGAGAGAACATTACTTGTGGATGAATGCGTCCACACAGCTCCGCAGAAAGCTTCCGAACGTCTTCAAATTCAAACTCACAAAAAGCCCTGAAACACATCAATAACATGACATATGCATCAGTCTCCTGTAATGTTTAGTGGAAGGAGACAAAAGGCTACGTTCTTCAAGGACCAACCTGTTCAGAAGGAAAGTAGCAATGCAATCATAACCAATATCAGTCTCCCTGCGTGCTGCATCTACCTCGCAAGAAAAAAATATACACAGCTTGTTGTAATAACTTCAGAAGAAAATTCCAATGAATTAAAATGAAAAATGACAGAATTTCTAGTCTGATAGACAAAGTAGTTTATGCTCGATACTCAAGAACATGAGATTATAAATAGGAATGAAGTCCATACAACACTTATGAATTTCAAAGTGACTGTATTGCCTCTCTGTCCATACAACAACACTGGAAAAGTCTACTAAGTGTTGAATCAGATGGGGACAAATTAGATGAATATCCACAAAATGTAAAAGCAGACTCCATGATGACGATTTTGGAATGTCAAACTAAACTACTACAATATTTGATTACAAAAAGGAAGCACATAGTTATGATTAAAAAACAACAGTAATTTCAATTCAATGGGCTCAGCATACAAATTCTGGCTGTGCCATACTCATGAGCATGTAGAAAAAGGAACAAAACCAGATTCCTTCAGCTTAAAATTTGCACATCAGAAGATTAGACAAACAGACTTTAATACCTGGTAAAACTGCAGTATAACTATTGACAAAAGAAAAAACAATGAAAAGAACAAATCTGCATATGGGAAAATAAAATATATCCTTGACACACGAACAACAAGAATTGGGTGATGGTAGCATCAATAGCCATCAAGAGAATCAGACAGACAAATACACAAGACAGGAATATATACCCTCCTGGATAATGATTTTACTGAGATGCCCATACATAATGGATGAATTGAGGTCGTTGAAAGTTTTCAGGGGAAGAATCTTAATTATGAGCAAAGGGCACAGATGCTCAAACAGTGATCGCTGCAATTCTTCAAACTCATCACTTGTGTAGGTTCTTTGCTCCCATCTTGTTAAGAAATTTCCATCAATCCTGGAGCAGAATTGAGAATGTATCAGGAAAGAAAGTATCACCATCAAATTAAATGCACATTGGATTAAGTGATTACACATCAATTGTTGATGGATTTAGTCTACACATGAATTTTCTCACTTTTGAGACAATTATATGGACACATTCACTATGATGATAGAATATATGGACAAAAAGATTTTAATATTGTAATAATCCAAATGAAGACACTGTTTGATTATGAATGAGATTAATATATCCATTTGACTTAAAACTTCACTTTTATACACTGGAAAGATTGCATATGAACATAGTAAATCTCTCCTACAACAACTACACACTATTATCATATTAAAAACTGAAGTATAAACAAAACTCTGATCACATGGCCAATAATAATGCATATTGTTAAGAATAAGTGTTTTATTTTTATGTCTTTTTTGTATGTAACCAGCTATAGGGTTAACATTGGGGGCTGGAGCTTTCCCTTTTGTTTTGTACTTGTACTCTCGTCTCTATATGTAAATACAATATACATCAGCGGTATACAATACACTGATATTTTAGTCACTCTTCATATGGAAATGTGATGAATAGAAAAGCCAAGGGGCAACACCCGCATGAGAAAGGACAACCAACCACAAATTATTAGTCATCATCAACATGACAGTCATCCCAAAACAAAACAAAACTCAATGCCAACTGTATAAATATATCAGTAGGAAGGACCATTTCTTAAAAATTAAAAGTAACCTCAAGTTCATTATGTTTCAAAATAGTAATTTCCAGAACTGTTAATTGCTATAGACCTAAATACAGTTCTTCCTTGAATTAGAATAGAATAAAGTTTGAAGATCTTCCAAGAGCAAAGAAATGCCAAGACACTGTAGAGTCTAGTGCTGTGCTTACATAAATTGTGTTTGAAGATAGATGGAAAGAGTTACTAAGGCATCCTAATATACCAAAAACACAAACTATTCTGATAAATCAAAAACCACTATACATTGAGCATAATTTTTTGTTTTGCTTATCATGCACAGCTTGGCTAATAAGATGAGAAAACATTAGGGATTCCTTAAGTCTTAAACTTATACAACACACCAGCCAACCAAGCAACATTCCACACACGCCCATGCTCATCAACTCAATAAGTAGAGCACAATTCAAATATCTTCTTTAAACTCTCAATCAAAGCGGAGTGCATGCAGCTTCTTCATCATCCATTGGTTTGAAAAGTTTTTATGACTATATTTTCATTGTATCCAATATTTGACACAAACACACAGCTCTTTGGTTTTACAGTTAAAGCTCTTGAGATCAAAATTATAGATAAGAGGAAAACTTAACAGATATAATATTTGGTTTAAAGATTCAAGACAAGATTTGATATTTAAAAAAGTGTACTACATATACTTACTGTTTCTGTTCTCTAACATGCAACAGAACATGATGCAATACAAGATCAGCAACATTTGCCAAGTTTTCACTTATATAGCTCAAGAATTTGACAAGAGTCGCATTTGATGGATCTGCAAACATCTTGTCGACCAGTGGTCCAATTAATATGTTCCAGTCTTGAACCTGATAATGTTGGAATTAACAAATTAGAATACTTTTGCTAATAACATTTCTGTATCTGAAGGTATATTTATTGCAGCACATTATAATTGATTTACAAATAGCCAACAAATATACATAAAATGTAAGTGTACATGGTCAAGTCACAGGTAAACATATAAGGGAAAATAGAAATATAAAAGGGTAGTGAACAGTCAACATCAAATAAAAAAAGACTGTCAAACCTCAACCCTTCCAGACTTGAGTTTAGTTAGAGAAAGAAAGACACCATTTTGAGCCTGTAGACCTGTACCCAACCCAATACCTAAAGCTTCGGTGTGATTTGGTTCTTAACATGGGCAAGAACAACTTCTACCAAACAGTTAATAGTTTCATTGTAGCATCACCAAATCTTCATTATCGAATTAAACTTTAACTAGATAATGAGGGCTAGTACTATTTTATAGTCCATGCTTTAAGAACAAAGGGTTTTCATGTATGGGAGAAGATTAGAGATAAGCAACCACTCTTAGGTGTACACCTTGGGTTCAGATATATTAAAGAGGACTCCAGTAACACAACAATGCTTTAGCAATTAGCATTCTTAAAATGTTGAAATAATCTATTAATATTTATCACTACTATGAAGTCTTAGAAGTCTACAATGTCTGTGGTGTCCAGATTACCCACTTCGCCAGTTCACCAATATAATGGGTTGGCTGAGTACCGAATATCTCTCATTCAAGGATATAACGGAAATCTCTCCGGAAATCACACACACTATCTAGGAAATGCATATAGAATAATAACTGACATGAGAAAAGATCACATCTGAATTTGAATACATAGATAAAAAGGAGTCTTAGGGTTAGGAAAGGCTAAGAGAGAATAAGTCCTGATATTGCTGATTGGGAGACCTATCCAAGCACCAACAATGTCCATTAACCAACCCCATCAGTTTACTTTGCTACCTAAAAATTATATCAGTCATCTATTTCGATTTTCAAGATCATATTTCCACATTGAAAAAAAAAGGGAGAGAAAAGGAAAAACAGATCATGGCTATATCCGTTGATTGGAAAGTACAATGCACTCTAAAAAATATATAGTTCTAGTCATTGATTGGAGAGTCAATGGTCGTAATTGTGATAGAATACATATGTATAACAATTATGCAGTTAAAATCCCAATGGTTAATTTTCCAATCAACAGTTATAACTCCATAAATTGACTCTGAACTTTAAAGTGAACCAAATCCCACAGCTAAAAATAATTGTTCAATCTATCATCTTACACTTTTAGACCATGCTGGAACCAGTTTGAGTAGTCGGTCAGCATCCAACTTTGACTCTGACACCAAATAAAAAAGAATGAGAACTTAATAAAGAGGCAGTATTTTTAACAATAAGAATATAAAACGGATGTACTTAAATGCGAGACTGATATTACTAGTTGTTCAATATTACAATCACAGATATGAACAAGGAAACAAATAAGAAATTATCACAATTTGAAGTGGACAGTAATATGTATGTGTGCGAGCCTTGAAAATATAACACATTAAGGTGATATGTAGTTACGTACACGTACAATTTTATACATCCTTATATGCCAGCGAAAATCAACTAGCACCAATAAGAATTTGGTGATCTTACACTATTATTTCAACTGCAGTCATATCTACAAGTTCGGAATAGCATTAAGTGCATGATCTTGCACAATTTCAAAGGAAGCAAACCAAGCAAGCACTACTTTCCACATCAAACTGTGTTAGAAAAATTGATGAACTTTAGTGTTATGAGATCCAGACGTTAAAAAACTAAGTGAAATTGGTATGAAATATTACAAGCTAAATTATCTACAAATAATGATATCCAACTAACTGAAGATTTTCATAAGAAATGCAACCTTGAGAACTAATAAACAGCATAAAACTAACCTACTATTACACAGGTGTCAATAAATGCTCAACCTACCATGTATAAATGTTGATATAGAAAACAGAACTAGTGAAGCAATGAAATGCATAGACTGCCAATTTGTGATGTGGAAGCAGGGGAAAAAAACTACCTTTATCTCCAGTGGACTGTGGAAGGTCTAGACATATATTGGTGTTGCTGCAAGGATAAGGAGGCAAAATTTTTAGCCAAGCAGTGATATCTTCACCTATAAAAAATTCCTAGATTTTGAACTCCAACTCTAGAAACAGTTTGGATTAGTTCAGCTCCAAACTTTAGAGCCCAGTAGAAGGTGAGAAGAAAAGGAAACCTACCTAAGACAATCAAGAAGCAAGAATATTACTTCAATTCTCTGGTTGTGATGTTTGAGAACCTCAACGATGGAATCACTAGCAATTGATTCACTTTCATCTGATGAGTAGACAAGACCAACCAGTGCAGGCAAGTACAATGAAGGGTCTGCCAAAGTAATTGACCAGTAAAAACTGTCACATCCATTTGTTTAGTCTAGTCTAAATGTTTTAGTTACAAGATATTTGCTAGAACACCATAACACATGGAATTAATGTGAAAACATTAATGCTTAAATAGATATGTGAAACTCAGTGAGAGAGAGGAACACAACAAATAATGACAAAGTATGAATCATTTTGAAGAGAAATAGATTGAGAACATTGTAAAGGAAAATGCAACGAAGCACCCTAAAAGCTTAAGATATTAGATGCAAGCTTAGAAATTGCTTTAACCAAACATCTTCAATACACCTCGTCAACTCCTGACATGAAAACTCTTTAGACTTGAGGTGAGAATAAAGCAAAGGCCCACCAATATCTTTTGCTTTATATAAAATTTTAGAACCAAAATATGGTGCTTAACATTTGGACAAAAGAAGGTCCAGCACCATGTCAACAGTCAATATACTTACTAATTTTAATAAGAAATATATGTAAAAAAATTACAGTATACATTTCAGTTTTAATGCTAACCTAACATTGGAAGTACTTTGGATGCCTGCTCACGAATCATAGTTTCTTCGTCTCCAAGCTTCTCTAGCAATTTGTTGGCTATATCTTGCCTTAAATACACATTTCAACAAATAAATATACAAACGACTAAAACAAAGTATAAGAACATAAGCATTCATACATAGTAGAACAAGGCATTAAACATTGTGACTTTGATGATATATGTACGACTTTTGATATGACATCCATAGCATTTCTTCTCTGGGAAATGTTTCCAGAACCAAGGCGCTGTAGAACTTCCATTAGACACTGATCATCTTTGCTCCTGGTGGATCATCATATATATAAGTTCTAAATTTAAAACGAAAGAATTTAGACATAAAAAGTGCTCCTACTCGGTATCATAAGAGAAAAAAAAAATGACTACATTGAGCAGTATTCAGCTATCAGCATAGCAGCAGCTTTAGCTGTACCATCCCGCTCATCTAAAAGGTGAAGCAGAAAAGGAACCACACTATTTTCCTTCCTACTGTCAGTAAGTGCATCTTCATGCGAGCAATCTGGCCTCAGAATGATAGCTTTGAGTATTGAAACAACCCCAGATATCACATCTTCATCAGTGCAATTAAGCTACAGAAAAAAGTGGGAAAAGTAAAAGCTAAGTTGAGCAGTATTCTATATGCATCATAACTAAAAATTAGCCAGATAACAAGCATCGAATACTCTATAGTTATATGCTAATATGCAGCACAAGCCCAATTACACATAACAGATGGCAACATCTGTATCATCTCTCAAGGAAACCAAAGGTCCTGTTGAACCTACACTGACTCCCAGGAAGTAGGACCAATTGCATTGCATGACAACATAAGAAATTGAAACAAGTATCTTTTCTTTTCCTCAGCATCAAACTACAACGTAATAAAATTTAACAAAAAATATTCTTTAGCATAAAGATAAGTGCACTATTTAATCTTATGTTGTGCTAAAGGTGTGTTTGGTAACTACTATGGAATTCAAAGAAACTTGCTTTCTGTTCCTTTAAGGATAAATCCAATTACAAGTATACCCTTTGTCTTCTATCTCAAACTTCTTTATCTATCAACTATGTGAACATAAAGTTGTTGAGTCTCAGGTATTTCTGGACTCTTCAGTTTGTAAAATTAAGAAATAGTACTCTGCTTTGACAGTGAATCAAAGGTAAACAAAAAATGTTAATTCTACAATGGAATGTTTTGATAAAATGTCAGATTCTACTGACAGTTACTGCTGAAAATGACAGAATTGATCTTTCTATCAAATACTAAGGGCATTATTACTGCATTAAAGGCACTGCAAAATCCACATCCATATGTCATAGAAGTTAAGAACTAAGAACAGACTATAGTAATAATAGTAATACATGGAAATGAAATCCTTATTCTGTGTTTCTAATGATAACAATTGATTGCTGAACCTTATCCATGCATGGGAAAGTACATGTGATTTTTGAAGGAGGAATGAACATAACCCGTTTATTTGCATGATTAGATGGTGCTGTAATGCTTTTGTTTAAAAATATATCTACAATATATTTTCCCAAGAAAACATCAATTATAGGCACCTGTGGTACTAGAATGCGCGAGATAGTCATCCCGAATTCCGACACGGTGCTTTCAAATCTCTTGATGTCCAGACGTCCTAGAAGCAGGCATAAACAATTCAAAAAGAACTTTCTGGTCTCCAATCCACCATCATTGTTGTCAGTATAACCACCAGTAGTGTGGTTGTCCATATAATACTGCAATTTGCATGGATATCAGAAACAAAACAACTTCATCACACACAATCTCATGAACCCACACAAAGAATTGAGTTACCATGTCATCATATCAAATATAATTATCACCTACTGACCTATCTCTGATCAACTTGAACTAAGGTAGCTCTTGCCAGTAACATTTACAAATTCACCATAAAATATGCTCAAATCTAAGGAAAGCACACCACAAATTTAGTGGAGAATGGAGACATCAGTGAGTATATTTTACAGAGGGAACATGAGACTGCCGCTTCATAAAGTGAAAAATTAAATGTAAGGCACCAACACTCTTACAACAGGACTGACAAAAATTGCAGTAAATAAATTAAAGCCTAAACATCTATATAATATGAAGAAGCCAGGCAACATATATTTTTCTTTTGAAGAATAGATAAAACAAGTAAATAATAATTTATCTCCCTTCACAAACATCAATTAGAGACACTTTGGCATCCATTATCAATTGGGACATCAGGTGAGTGCTCAAATTACTTCAAGAGATCATTATAGCTACTATGTGCATATAACCTGGATGCCAGATATATACTGGTCCAACAGTTCCTTATAATGCTGAGAGAACTTCTTATCTTCCAGGTGTAGTAGCACACTATAATGCTTCCAGCAAGAAGAGAGCAGTAAATCTCCAGTCTTGAGAGAATTAGAATCTGTCTTCAATGCTGCAGACAAAGAGAAAAATTATGGTTCATAGAAGACTATTACGTGAATGAATTAAATATCAATTAGACATATAAAATGCATTGATTCCAGAACCTGCCTCATGTTGGAAGGACCCATGGTGATCCTTTATCTCCTCCAGCCATTTAAGGACATGCTCCAAGCCTTTGGCATGTAAAAAACGACTTTTCTTGCTCCACTGCAATGTAGGGTTGAATATTAAAGAACTGAATAAGTTCAGTGCAAAGTTCAACAGAAAGCAACAGAAGATACTGCTTGAACCATCTTTTTTACATTCTAATTACACATGTATGTTAACGTCACTGACTTTTGTATGCTATTTAGAATTCAGTTACAAGTTTGAGGCTGACTATACTTTCTGCAGAAGCAGATGAGTTCCCATCACAAAATCTTAGGCAGTTTTATATTAGTTTCCCCTCTGACAAGAAACATGGGTTGATAATAAACATGAGCCTAAATTCAGTACAGGCTTTTTTTACCAAATTCAAAATAACAGGAAATGTGCTCATAGCTGACCTTCTAAAACTCTTCTGAACACATTAGTTAAATAAAGTCATAACTGTCTAGTGTTTGCTTATTCAATATGATTTTCCTTATAGTAAATCATAATTGCATATTATGAATATATGAAACGTTATCCAAAACATGGATGACTCAAACAAGAATTAAGACTGTATGACTTACAGAAAGGAGCCTTTGCACCAAACAAATAATGTCATTTAAATGATGCCACAGTGTATAGTCCCTTTCCATGATTGACATCAAAGATTTCGAATCCAATTTCTCCTTCTTGTCAATAGTAGGAGATTGTACAAAATTGATTGTCTGATCTTTTGCTCTTGTATTTAATTTTGACTTTCTAATGTCGGCCACTTTTGTTAATGCTTCCGAAAGGGACAAAAAACAATCCGCGGCAGACACTCCAAAGCGAGATGGCAACTCAAAACCATCCCGCAAAGTGCTGAAAAGCCAGTGGTCAGATCATGAAAATTGATGGAACAATCCGTGAATTAATAAGAGAACATTATAATGATGCCAACCATAAAAATGGCAAATGGAAGAGATATGGAGTTAACACTATTGGTAAAATAAATGGGTACAATGCTACAACAAGAAACACAAAACAGTATCTTTATGAGAGAAACAGTTGTGCACAAGTGAGATTTATCATTGAATACATTAATAATCAATCGAATATGTATGTATATATATATATATATATATATATATATATATATATATATATATATATATATATATATATATATTCGATTGCATAATATTCAATATAATAAAAGACAAATATCTTGATAAATACACAAGTACAATGATGAATGCACACAAGCAAAATCTACCACTAAACAACAAGAACCTCCGGTTACATTACTCTTCGAAACAAAAAAGAAATGCATGAGAAACAACAATACCTTCCTTTACTCACAATGCTGACCAAATCCGGAAGGCAGGTGGAGAGTATCTTTAACAAATCTCTATACCTCTCCCGTATCCCTAGCAAACACAAGTTAACTAATTACACCAGTTGAATTTTAAATAAAAAGGTTTCCTACTCTCCAGACTTGTTCTCCGTCAACATGAGTTGAAACAGCGAGAGTGAAAATCAGAAACTCACCACCAAACATGGATTGGTGAGCGGAACTCTCAAATTCAACGAGATTCCGAAGAAGGAGACACCAACCAAGCAACACGTAGCGGTCGTGGACGGGCTTTCTGGTGACGACGCCAGCGAGAGCCTCGGCAACGGGTTGGAAAAGAAGCGCGTCACGGAAGAGCCAGTTCAACAGCACCATAGCTTGGTCACCGTGCTTGGACTTCAACACCTACAAAAACGAAACATACAGCTTAACGAAGAGAAAGCAAAATTCGAAAATGAACAAATTCAGGAAGAGAAATTGAATACACTGTCGATAATTGGAAGAAGGACTTGGTCGAGGGAGGAATTGTTGGTCACAGCGTCGGTTACGTAACTGTGGAAGAACCAGAGAGAGTCTTCGAGGGAAGCGAGTGAAGTGCGGGAGAGCGAAGAGTGTGAGGAGAGGCGAGAAATAGAGTCGTGAAGCTTCCTGGGACGGGAAGCGAGAAGAGAAGTGATGGCACGAGCGAGCGTGACGGAGAGGATGGACTCGCGTTGTGGCTCCGATTTCCATAGCAACCCTTCTTCTCCCTCCATTCTTCTTTCTCCCTTCAACCTTCGGTTTCAAGTTTAAGCTTATTCAACTGAACCACCACAAAGTAAATACAATGGCAGTGTTTTTTTTTTTGTTTTTTTTTTTGGGCCTACCGTAGGCCCAAAAGTATAATAAGTTATGATGTAGTAGCATGTAGGTTCCATTTCAGGCCCAAAAGTATAATAAGATATGATGAGTAGCATGTAGGTGGCATTTCTCTATTGTCTGTAATGCTCCCACTGCAGAGCGACTACAGAGACGTTTGCAAGGTGCTGCTGTGTCTAACACATTCAAGGTCACTCCCCAAGGGTCTTCAACTCCATGCACACGTCATCAAATTAGGGTTTGAAGCTCTTCCATTGGTGTGCCACCATTTGATCAACTTCTACTCCAAGACTAACCTTCCTCACTCCTCGCACCAACTCTTCGATTCCTTCCCCCACAAATCCGCCACCACATGGAGCTCCGTCATCTCCTCCTTCGCCCAGAACGACCTCCCCCACCTCGCCCTCCGCTTCTTCCGCCGCATGCTCTGCCACGGCCTCCTTCCCGACGACCACACCCTCCCCAGCGCTGCCAAGTCTTGCGCCGCCCTCTCATCCCTCCCCACGGCCCATTCCCTCCACGCCCTCGCCCTTAAAACCGCCAACCACTTCGACGTATTCGTCGGAAGCTCCCTCGTCGATATGTACGCCAAATGCGGCGAAATAAACCTCGCGCGCAAGATGTTCGACGAAATGCCTCATAAAAATGTTGTCTCCTGGAGCGGCTTGATATACGGGTACTCCCAATTGGGTCTCGACGATGAGGCTTTGAACCTCTTTAAATGTGCTTTGGAGCAGGATTATGATATTCGGGTTAATGATTTTACGTTGTCTAGTGTTTTGAGAGTTTGTAGTGCTTCCACGTTGTTTGAGTTGGGGAAGCAAGTGCATGGATTGTGTTTTAAGACGAGTTTTTATTCGTCCTGCTTTGTGGCTAGTTCGTTGATCTCGTTGTACTCTAAGTGTGGGGTTGTGGAAGGGGGTTACAAAGTTTTTGAGGAGGTGAAGGTTAGGAACCTTGGCATGTGGAATGCGATGTTGATTGCGTGTGCTCAGCATGCTCACACGGGGAAAACGTTTAAGCTGTTTGAAGAGATGGGGTGTGTTGGGGTGAAGCCGAATTTCATCACGTTTTTGTGTCTGCTTTATGCTTGCAGCCATGCAGGGTTGGTTGAGAGGGGCGAGTATTACTTTGGGTTGATGAAGGAGCATGGGATTCAACCGGGATCACAGCATTATGCAACCATGGTGGATTTGCTTGGTCGTGCTGGGAAGTTGGAGGAAGCGGTTCGGGTGATTGAGGAAATGCCTATGGTGCCAACGGAGTCTGTTTGGGGGGCTTTGTTGACTGGGTGTAGGATTCATGGGAACACTGAATTGGCTTCATTTGTGGCTGATAGGGTTTTTGAGATGGGTTCTGTGAGCTCTGGGATTCATGTTTTGCTTTCTAATGCTTATGCTGCTGCTGGGAGATGGGAGGAAGCGGCGAGAGCGAGGAAGATGCTGAGGGATCAGGGAATAAAGAAGGAAACTGGTTTGAGTTGGGTGGAGGAGGGGAATAGGGTTCATACATTTGCTGCTGGTGATAGGTCTCATGGGCAGACGAAGGAAATTTATGAGAAGTTGGAGGAGTTGGGAGAGGAAATGGCGAAAGCTGGGTATGTTGCAGACACGTCTTTTGTGTTGAAAGAAGTGGATGGAGATGAGAAGAGTCAAACTATAAGGTATCATAGTGAAAGGTTGGCCATAGCGTTTGGACTTATTACTTTTCCTCAGGAGCGGCCCATCAGAGTGATGAAGAACTTGCGTGTTTGTGGTGATTGCCACACTGCCATCAAATTTATTAGCAAGTGTACTGGAAAGGTAATCATTGTTAGGGACAATAACCGGTTCCATCGTTTTGAGGAGGGAAAATGCACTTGCGGAGATTATTGGTGATGATGGAAAGGTGCTGCATGACATGAGACTCGCTGAACAATTCAAATTATTTTCAGTGGCAGAGCCGGAATAGAGTAGCATAAACTCTCAACTTCATTTTTGCTATCTCACCACCGTATAAAATCGTGGTAGTTTAAACTTTTTGCCATATGTTTTTTGCTATTGCTGCTAACATGACCAGAGGTAAAAGGGAAGCCTAGTGTGTTACATGCCAATCTAGTTTGCCTTTTCTTAGATACTCGAGGGCCTTCAAATATAAGACATATACATGGAGAGAAGATGGAGACATGAATGTAAGAAGTAGCAGTGTTGATGACTTCTGATTAGTTAATTTAGTTCCTCATACCACTCTTATCATATATCCGTAAATTATAATTGAGGTTGGAACATCAATGACATGCCAGCCAAGTTGCAAGTTGAAATTTTGATGGTCGCACTCCGCCAACGGAAGGTAACCGCTGACGATATCTTTGATTTGAGTATTTTTCTTACTCTTCATGCTTAGGCATGAGGTATATACTGGTTATATAGTTCACTTATAGGAAAACTTTTCGGCAATAAACCTGAACAAATAAAAAGTTTACCAAATAAACTCTTTACCAATTTATTTACTGAAATTGATTCAACGTACGTCAATTTAATTTTTTTTTTATTTCTCTTGTTAGAAATATGTTTCCCAGAACCCGATTTATGTGCAGGTTTTCTTTTCAAATGTATCTAGAAATATTTTAAAAATAATTTTGATAAATCTTATTAATAAAAAATAATATTGTTAGTAAAAATCATAATCTAAGTTTATAATTAATAAAAAAATAATATTAAATGATCTCCATGAAATTGGTTTTAAATAATCATTGATATTATTTTATGTAAATTTATTATTGTTATTATTATTATTATTATAAATTAAAATCAGATATGTTTAGGAGAACCAATAATTTGAATACTTGAAATTAAAGAAGTATGGAGTTTGTATTTTATAGGCAAATCTGGATAGGTAAATCAATATAGAAACTAATGTGAAATTAATAAGAACCACAAATTATCATTGTCAAACCAATAAACTTTCTTTTAAAGCAAGTAGTTTAGCAGTTTCTATTGTTTCTTGACTTGATACTTGCATTTTAGTCCATGTTAGTTTTGACAGAATGTTTTTTAATAGTAGCTAGGTGAGCAAACATTATATGTGTAACATGCTTATACTAATTGTAGAACATTGTCTGTCATAGTCTATAATAGGAAAATTTGTATACAAACACAGTTTGACCAAAATTTCCACAACGCTCAAATCCAAGAGGAGAAAAACACAAAAAGGAGCAAAAGTTCAATCAAACCAAAATAAAACAGCACATGAGATACAATAGCCTACACCCAACCATAAACCCAAAGTAAAATCATACATATTATTATATTTAAACACATACCCAACCGTAAACCCTAAAAATTCAACTAAAAATTCAATTGCATAAAGCAAATTACAATCTCCGATCACAAACACACACACACACATATATATATACAACTTTGACATACCTCTTTTTTTTTTCTTTTAGTCATGTTTCTTATAGATTTGAAGATATTAGTTTATGTAAAAAAAAAGTTCGCTTGTGGAGTTTCACGTGTATGTCTTATTAAGATATACATGTAATAAATGAGTCATTTACAAAATACCCTTATTCAAGTTTTAAAATTACAATTAATATGAGTCACTGGTTTAGTTATCCCTAAAGAGGTAAAAGTATAACTCTTTGTGTATTTGAGCAAGTCCAGACTGAAGATTTTTTCGGTGGATTACTATGACGGCGGTGTAACAAAAATAGGTATTTTCTCACTTTTGCATTGCTTATTAGGAATAACTCATTTGCTATTGGTTGTTGAATTAAGTTATATTTGAACATAACATTTATAATTTTTGTGTTGGTGTCAATGTTTCCAACTTATATACTTTCATATTATTTTGTTATCAATAGTAGGAATTGTATCCTTCATTGTTTATCTGCCATGGGAGATATCATTGAAAACAGAGATTTATCGGTCAATGATGACATTTTGGGTGTGTATGATGACGTAGCTAGTGATGTGGATGTAACAAGTCTAGAACAATGTCATGGTCCTCTCTGAGATGTACATAAAGACATGTTGGGTATATATGATGACGACGTACTTAGTAATGTAGATGTAACAAGTATACAACAATGTGATGATCTTCTCCCAAGTGTACATGAAGAAATGTTGGTTGAGCATGATAAAGGATTTCCTGATGCAGATGTGAGGACTATAAAACAATATGACGGTTGTGTTCCATGTGCAGGAATGTCTTTTGAAACTATAGTTACAGTAAGTCATTTTATCGACAGTATGTCATACAAAAAGGTTTTGACATCAAAACTAGGAATTCAAAGAAAGGGCCCGATAATCAATTACGGTATTTCATCTTGGTATGTGCAAGGGTGGGTAAGTATGTTTCTACTACACCTACTGAAATTAGAACTCAACTTACCAAAACAAATTCAAGTACTGCAAGGATAACAGTTGGATTAAAGGAAGACCTATGGTATATTATGTCGATAAATGATGAACATTCACATTATCTTAACCTAACGAAATCAAAGATGTTTTGTAGCAATAAAAAGATTAGTTTGCATGTGAATAGGACTCTAGAAATAAATGATGTAGGTGTTAAGATCAATAAAAGTTTTCGATCATTTGTTAGTAGTGTAAGAGGTTATGAAAATCTCCAATTTGTTGAATGAGATGTACGTAATTATGTTGGTAAACAAAGACGTGCATTAAGAAAGGAAGGTGATGGAAAAATTCTATTAAATTATTTTTCACAAATGAGGGAAATAAACAAGGATTTCTATTTTAATATAGACTTAGATGATGATGATAATCGTGTGAAAAATGTTTTCTGGGCTGACGCTAGAAGTAGGGTTGTTTGTGAATATTTTGGTGATGTTATTTCATTTGATACAACATATTTGACCAATAAATATGACATGTCTTTCGCATTATTTGTGGATGTAAATAATCATCATGGTCACTCCATCTTGTTAGGGTATGGGTTATTATTAGCTAAAGACACCACTTTTTTTATATGGTTATTTGAATCATAGCTACGTTGCATGTCATTCAAGGTCCCTACGGGTATTATCACTGACTAGTGCAAGGCAATGCAAAATGTTGTTCAGATAGTGTTTCCTAAAGTCCGTCATAGGTGATGTCTATGGCATATAATGAAAATTTTCCAAAAAGGTTGAAAGGTTATACAAAATATAAACATATAAAGAATATTATGAAGGAGGTTGTTTATGAGTCTTCCACCGTAACTGAATTCACCTCCAAATGGAGTAACTTCATATCTAATTTTGGATTAGAACACAATGAGTGGTTGAATAACATTTATAAAAAGAAACAAAGATGAGTTTCATGTTTTTTTAAAAATCAATTTTGGGTTGAGATATCAAATACATAGCGAAGTGAAATCATGAATGCATTTTTTTATGAATATATCAACTCAATGACATCTCTCCAACAATTTGTTAAGCAGTATGAAAATGTCTTACAAGACAAGGTTGACAAAGAACATGAAGTTGATTTTGCATCAATGCATACAATTATTAATTGTGGATCACAGTCTATGATAGAGAAACAATTTCAGTCAGAGTACACACATCCGAAATTTGCATAAGTTCAAGCTGAATTTAAAGGAAAAATGAAATTAGTGTTATGCATGTCTCTTGCCTTGGATCGGTTTGGTTTTATGATGTTATGGAGAAATCTATTTGCGGTGAAGATTGTAAAGAAAATATGTACAGTGTAAGTTTTAACCGTGACGATCATAATGTCAGTTGCACATGCTTCCTATTTGAATTTAAAGGTATTGTTTGTCAATATTGTTTGGTGGTCCTTGCTCAAGAAAGGGTTAAAAATGTTCCATATAACTACATTTTTAGTAGATGAAGTAAAATGGTTACAAGGAAATATACTTATATAAAAATCACTTACAATGTAAAAGAGAAGCAACCGTAGATTGAAAGATACGATGAATTGTGCAAAAGATTTTATTGAAGTTGCATCAGAGTCAACTGAACAAACGAACATGTTGTACCAAATGATGAATAAATTTGATCCAACACATACATTCTCACGTTTAGAAACTGAAATAGATACGAATGTTGACAAAAACAATACACTTAAAGATTCACAAAGATCATATGTTAACAATGTTGACATTGACATTGATAGCCTATTGCATGTTAAAAGGAAAGGAAGACCACGTTCACTTCGAAAGGTGTCAACAAGTGAAAAAATTGCAATGCAAATATCAAAAAATAAAGTACAACACAGTTGCATCACAAATACGGTAAGTATTATATCCACAACTTACATGTTATTTTGGATTCGAAGATTTGATAAGTTCATTAATAAGTTATCTTCGCCATTACAAGGGAGTACTCAAGGAACTTCATCCGAGTTATTAAACTTGAGCGCTCATATTGAAACTCATGTTAATTATTGATCATCTGGATTGGTTTGTGTTAAAAATGAAATTTATTTAATGTTATAGTAGTTGGTCAGTTGAATTTGCTTTATTTTATGTGTGTTTTACAATTTGTTTGAATTTCAGTGTGGGACTGATATACTATTTATGCAGTATATGTTATGTAAAATGACAATAAAGTCATCTGTCAAAACTCATGTAATTATTACCCTTTGCAGCGATCAAGTTTGAATACCATTGATTTTGTGTCGTTGTTGACATCACTTGATAGTAATGTTGACGTCACACAATTGTCATCTTTAACACAATAGTTTGGGAACATTATTTTTTTAGTCAAATATTATGTCAACAATCAATATTTCATTAGTATTCAATTTCATTACATTCATGTTTACTAATAATTTTTTCTTCAACTTGTAGGACATAAATATAAATATCTATTACATAGAATTTTGCAGTGTTATTTTGACCACATTCACATTAAATAATATAACAA